ATAATTGTTATGGCACTGATGATCTGCTAATCTGGCACTGAAGACTGCTAATCTGTATTTGCAGTTAAGGTATATGAAAGGGGTTTTCATTAGAAAAAAATCAGGATGGATAGGCAACAAACCAGTATGGATAGTTTTGTGTTGTGGTTTTCAAGTTCAGGGTCCACAAATCAGGACAAGAGAGGGGGTGGTAGAAGCTATTATGCCCTCAAGAGCCAGATCCAGTCAGGACTGAGGGGCATAACCTAGTCCAGGAGGCATCTCGGAGTCAGGGGGCTGTTCCCAGTCCAACATGCCCTTTTACTGAACAAACTACATTTTTTTACTTCATCAACTCTTTAACATAAAAATTAGTCGTTTAGGGAAATTAAAATCACTGCAATTGTTACGCTTCATGACCCTCATAATTATTAGCTCCAGTATATTAGATGGGTTGCCAAGGTTCTGGAACTTCTGTTTATGCAAAACTGCTGCATTTTTTTATGGAGTGGTAATTATTAAGAGAACAGGCTACCCAACCAGGAATCAGGGGGAACAGCTCCCATTCAAGAGTTAGGGGGTATTATTGTTTCATAAATACTGTAATAGGAAAATATTACATATAAGGATTGATAATATTAGAGAATATACAAGTACAGTATTAGATTTACAATATACAGTACAATATTTCCCGAGTACCAATGAAGAAATATTATAAAAGGGTCAATATAAATACACTGTTGCCAAATGCAGCCTGTGTTGCCAAAATCTACTTTACTACAGCAAAGACAAAATTACTTTTTTCTATCATAGAATATTCCATAACTTCTAAACAAATTATTTGAAATATTGTAGGTGCTAGGTGTGAGTGTTGGTTCTAATCTACCGCATGAGATGACATTTTCCTGTCATTTACAACAGCAGTTTTGAGCTCCAAACTCCTATTCTGATTTCCAAAAGATCTGCTCAACACCGGTCCCAAATGATCCAAGTGGCTGGAAACTATTCCTTCACTCCATCCTCATATGTCAGATCTTAAGTCTGCCCTCATCCCTTCCAAGCGGTCTGTCTAATTACCACAAGCTTCAGAAAGCTTCAGAAAGCTTATGTTAGTAATGAATAAATATGATATATTTACTCATTATAATGTTGGTACTGAATGTACAACACGAGAAAACATAATTTTAATCTGAATAAGTAAAATTTTTATTAAGAAATTAGACGAAAATAAAGAGCTGGTGACGCCAAATAAAGTCGACGATCCAAGCGTCGGTTAGGTTAGGTTAGGTTAGGTTAGGTTTAGTTAGGTTTGGTTTGGTTAAGTTAGGTTAGGTTAGGTTAGGTTAGGTTAGGTCAGCCTAACCTAACATATCATATTTATTCATTACTAACGTATTGCCAGGAAGCTTTTTGAAGCTTTCTGAAGCTTGTGTAGCTTGTGGTAATTAGACGGACCCCTTCCAAGAGCTATACAGTCATACTGGCTTAGTATTTTTGCCTGATACCTTACCTTACCTGGACTCCAGTGTCTTTTCACACTCATAAACCAAATTTTGATAGGTGACCAAATATTGCACTTATTGCAGCAAAATGGCTAAATAAAGTTCAAATTAAACTTACTTTGATAATATCATACATATTATATTAATAATGTTAGTGCAATGTAAAAATGTCTCACTTTCCTTATTAATATTACACAGATTAGTAACTTAAATGGTTAAGCCTTATATGTATGGTGGTTATGGCCTAGTCAACCAGATATGATCATGAAAGAACACACCAACCGATACTCTTCGTGGGTGAGGCTAGCGCCATCCTATCATCATCAACCATCTCAAAGTGGTTGGCGAAGGTAAACCTTCGGCAACCGGTAAATACAGTAATATATGTTAGGTAAAAGTTTTATACGTTCACACAGCTTTAATTTTTTTATTTACATAATTTTACTTGGATTTGGAAGGATTTGAGCAATTTGTGAGACCAAACACTTATATTACAAAATACATGAAATTAAAAGATAATTAATTTTACCTGCTAGAATGATTATTCATATCCATGCCTGGCTCCTGTATTACCCACATTCACAAATGCATTTCATAAAAAAATTAACCAATAACCAGGCCCAGCATATACCATATTATCCCACACAATTTGTCACAATTGGCTATGGTATTTCAGCCAATGAAAAATTTACCTTCACAAAATATTTAACTGAATTTAACTGAGGGCCACTAACACGACGACAAGGACAGGAAGCTGGCGGCTTGCCAAAGGTCCCACCCCCAATATACAAAGACATGAGTAGCTTAAGGCAATTGGTAAAATGGGTTATTAATTGCAGACAAGGAGTCACAATAACGTGGCAGAAATATGTTAACCAAACCACACACTAGAAAGTGAAGGGACGACGACGTTTCGGTCCGTCCTGGACCATTCACAATCGACTTGAGAATGGTCCAGGACAGACCGAAACGTCGTCGTCCCTTCACTTTCTAGTGTGTGGTTTGGTTAACATATGGGTAATTAATTATTGTGCGCTGCATGACTGGCTAGTGACAGAATAGGTGGAGCCTAAATCTGACTAAAAATACAGGTGGATCCCTCAGTATGTAGTACCCAATAGCTTCTCAAACTAGGGAACATCTATGCATGGTGACTGTTTTAGACAACTGTTAAGTGATGAATACAACTCTAAAATCAAGATAAATATGGTTAGTAAACAAATTAATAGCCTGTGGATAGTTATATGTTAAAAATGGTTAAATTTCAGCTAAGGCATCTGTTTAAAATTACTTTTGCTAGGAAACAAATGTTAATCCTGTTTTGAAACTCTTCCCCTATGCAGTTTATGAAAGGTTAAATTACAGTACAGTACTGTACTGTGGTTTGTATAGTTTCAAGACAAAAAACATACTGTTCTACAAATTATCCAAATCCACATAGTATTACTTCAACTAAAACTACACTGAAACATGATTTGCTAATATGTCGATAATATTATATTAGGGACTGCAGGCTAATTTCCTGCCAAGTCTACCATCTCCCGTGATAATGCCACCAGTAACACAGCTCTCTGCGATCTATACCCAAATAGCTTTTGTTTAGGGCTTTAGGTGCAGCACAGTACAGAAATTCTACTTGGATTTGGGTAATTTATGTGACCTACCCAAACAACATTCTTTTCTTCAGTTTTTTTCAGGACGTACACACATCGGTCAGTTTCATCGCTGACACTTGATTGAGATGCTTTAAACCACTTGACTGGATATTTGTGAATGAGTTGGATTTTCATGCAAAGATAACAAAAATAATGTTGCTACACACACCTTGAAGTGTGGACTGTATTGCAGAAGGTGCAAAACTTCCTCAGGAGCCGCTGAAGCATCATTTTAATAGTATTGTAATAGTATCCTTACCTAACTGAAGAACTATGAATATGTTGGATACAGGTCACTTAAAATATAAGAACTTCAAATGCATGTTAAAATCTACCTATTTTACCTAGCTCAGTTTACCTTATATTGTTTTGTTGTGGACTTTAGACTTATAATGAAGTTCCACCAAGGTCAAATTCCTGACCTTCCTCAGGATTCAACCCCACAATAATAATTTACTGTTCTGTAAATGTACCCAGGTACTGTACCTATTTACTGCTAGGTGAAGAGAGGCATTAGGTAAAAGGAAATGTGCGCAACCATTTCTGTCCCGCCCAGAAATCAAACCCAGGAACCCCGATTGTGAGTGGAGAATGAAGCCAACTGTACTACGAGACCCTATAAGCCAAATTATGTACATGTTCTAAAAATGATAAAATACTGTACTGTATGTAATTAACAAATGAAAGTTAACGTATGTACACAATACCTATACATGATTTGACCATACCCTAAAGGTACTATGGTATCTTGATACTGGATTATTCAAAATATCACTTTGCTGTTCATAAAACTAGGTGCAAAAAAATTATGGTGTATTTAAATAGCGTATCACCTCATGTTCCTATAACTAACATATCCACAATTACTTTTGAAAATGCTTTCTATTTTCATTAATATACTGTATCTTATTTTCATTTAATGTCTTGTTTGCACAGGTTATTTTATGGAGTTTTTTCTTTACCTTAAATTGTACTAATTTTACTCAAATCTGTAATTTCTTCCCAATTTGATGGGATGTAGTTATTCAACCAATGATAATTTTAAACACTGTTCAGACAATAAATCCTACATCTAAAATGCATGATTTACTAGTGTTGTGCACACCCACACTCGCTACACACACACTTAACGTTACTCTGTCACTGGCCAAGTTTGGCTGGCTTAGTGTATACAGCCTATTATTGTCTGTATTATTTATTTATTTATTTATTTATTTATTTATATATATACAAGAAGGTACATTGGGATTGGGGATACCTAGGATAGTAATTGCAATCTTGTGAAGTCACTAGTAAGCACAGCGTTTTGGGCAGTATATATTGTATTATTCAGGCAGTATTATACTGTATATTGTATTATTGTCTGGGAACTTTGAGGCCTGTAGCAAATATTGTTCTACATGACTCTGTTATGATCCTAACTCACGGTAACTTGGCAAGCCAAGAGAGCAACATTTGCTCCAAGATTAGGTTCACCTTGCGGGTACATTACCAATCTTGGCTGAAGCAGTGATCACTTGGGCTCCTCAACCCCAACAACAACATTAAGGTTCAACACCATAATACCAGTGAACAAAGGCCACTATACACTTCATCTTCTGTGTCTGCGATTTGAACAAACTTCTTGAAAACGTGAAAATTTCATCATTAGTTATTCATCCCATAATAAAACTTAGGTTTCCCATTACCTTATTACATTATTTCCTCAAGATACTTCGCAAGATATTAATTTCACTATATAAAACACTTATCTTGCACATTCCTTCCATATTAAGATATTATGTTTACCTAAATATAGGAAACTTCCTTCCACCCAACATTCCCAGAATCAGCTGATCGACCATAACAAACCCTAGGTACTCACAAAAGGAAGCTCATGGTGATAAATCCCAGTTTCTATGATCAACTTCTTTTTCTTGAAATAATTCCAAAATATCTGTTAGCAATTCCCTGCGGGTAAATCCCAGCAAAGAGTAACGATGAGAACAGAATTCAGGGATTAATTCAGAGCGCCATCGTCCAGGATTCAATATGGCTGCCGGCGCCGAGGCTTGTGGGGCGGCGGAGCGATAACGCCCAGCGGCGATTTCGTCACTACGGGTGCGCGCGCCTCCGCAGGCGCTCTCGTGCGATATTACGCAATTCTTGCTAACCAATTACTATGGTTATTTGGCTCTACAAATTTCACTTAAAACTGTTTTAAGTTTTTAAAGCGGTTTATTTCACCGTACTGTCCTAAATTCATTTTCCATCATATTAATTAAAAAGGTGCAGCTTATAAGTTCTCAAAAGCATACAGCAATTTTATCAAATTCAACATTAAAAGTTTATTAGGGTTTAAAAAGAGGATATTTAAGTAAACAATTTATGAAACTTCGTTATTTTATTTGGTATCTTAAGAATAAAGTCTAAAATTACATTTGTAAATCGTCCGACCTGTCACAATGTAAGGTTTATGCATCCAACTTCTTTTCAAATGGAATGTCACACCAGATAATGTCATGAAAATAAAACTTGTAGCTCACAGCAAGACAGGTACCAGTTAACACGTTCTTCTACTACCAACACTGGCACACCATACACTAGGTAACGTATGCTACACGACACTTTAACCATCAATAATACACTGCGTCCTCTCAAAAATACATCCGTACTTTACACTTTCCCCTCCCTTAAATCTTAGTCACACAGCTTTAACATCAGGTAATTAAAGTTACACAATATTGCATAAACAAAACTAAGAAAACATTTTCTCTTGAATCTTTATTCACAATAAAGTTCAATGAATAAACTCATTTTAGTCAAAAGTTCAATAAGAACTTTAACAGTAAGAAATGTTTTTTATCATTCAGGAGATTCAAGTATCTAACAGAAGCTGTTGTAGTTGCTGCCAGACATCTGGTCGCCAGGGCCAAAACCGTTGTTTGAGTTGAAGCCGTTGTTGAAGCCGCTACCGAAGCCGCCGCCTCCACTTCCACCGCCGCCCATTCCTCCACTGCCGCCACCTCCCATTCCGCCACTGCCGCCGCCGCCCATTCCGCCACTGCCGCCCATTCCACCACTTCCACTTCCCAAACCACTGCCCATTCCCCTACTCAAGCTTCCAGAGAGGCTGCTACCCAGCCCTCCGCTGAGGCTACTTCCCAAACTTCCAATTCCACTTCCCAAACCGCTGCCCATTCCTCCACCGCCACCACCCAGTCCCCCTCCACCCATTCCACCACCGCCCATTCCCCCACCGCCCATTCCACCGCCGCCGCCACCACCCATTCCACCGCCGCCACCACCACCCATACCACCGCCGCCCATTCCACTACCCCCTCCCATACCACCGCCCCCTCCCATACCACCACCGCCCATTCCACTGCCCCCTCCCATACCACCGCCTCCACCCAAACTACCAATTCCTCCACTACCCAAGCCATCGTCTAGGGAACTGTAGCCGCCGCCGCCGCCTCCACCGCCACCCATTCCACCACTGCCATATCCACTACCACCTGGAAAGAAAAATATATTCTCTAGTAAAACACGTAAAATATATTCTCAACCTTTACTTAATAAATCTTAATGATCTTACCTGAATAACTTAGTGGCAAATCTGATAAAATCTATAATTTCCTTTAACTTTTTAAAAACGAATTAATGGCAGAAATTAAGAGAAAAGATAAAAAAAAGCATCGACAGGGGACTAGAAAGAAGTGATTGGTCAATGTACATACATCACACGTGTAACACTTCAGGAAATAACCAGCCCTTGCAAGTATCAGGATGCCAAACACGTGAATAGAAAAACATAAGACAAGTGATCTCAAAAGAATCTGATTAACCTAGGATATTATCAAGGAATTTAAACTAGAGTGATATTTCGCACCAATAGCCGGTAGAAGAAATGGACGTTAAACAAGAAATTAGAGAATTAAGATTTACGACCATCCTAAAAAATCTGGGCATTCTATAAGGTGAACGATTTTAAAGTCAGGCAATGCAGTTGAAATGATAAAGAGCAAGGCTACATTTGGAGAAGAAAGGACATTACCCCAAAGGGCAAGCAGTTTAAATCACCCAGAGCACAGGCTCCAGTTTTAAGAGGTTAATATGATCAGGAAGAGACTGCGATAGGAAGAGCAGCCAAGGAAGTATCATTTCGGATCATGAGCAGTAGTTCCAGTAAAACTTGAAGAGGGAAGAAAAAACGCAGAAGTGACCAGGACTAGCGTCAAGCATCGGTTCCTGGAGATACACAACAAAATGAGATATCAAATGTTGTAGTTAATTAAATTTGCATAAAACCATGTTTATTACATTGAAGAGCAGAAATAGGTTGGTATATTCAGCAAAGACGGTAAAGTCTAGAGGGGCAGTAAGGAGAATAGGGAAACTGACGGGTCCAGTGAATCTGGTATATGTTTCAGACACACAGACATAATGTGCTGTGCAACTGCCTCCCAGTCTCAAGTGGGAAAGTAGAACGAAAGCAGACGATATAAACACAGCTGGGAGGAGGATGGACAGTGGCTAATAGACATTTATCAGTGCCAAAGGACAGAGCAGTCTGAGAAGATGGGGGCCAAAAGTCAAAGGCCACAGTGGAGAAAGACAAGTGACATGCAGAAGTAACAAATATATGGATAGTACTTGAGTAGAAGACCAGGAAGCAAGAGTGATAAATGCCAGTCTGTAAAACTGGACCTTGTCTCCTCAAAATGTGTGAAAGGGGAGTGCTGGTGGACCTGGTGTCTTGCCTCAGTTAAAGGTAACACAGGTATTCGGTCAACAAGGTGCTGTGTAAATCAGGGCAGGTATGTTCATCGTGACATCAATATACTTAGGCCATGTAACTGGGTCAGATTGTGGTGAACAGCAGTGTTCAAGTGAGTATGTTAAGTGCTCCATTAAGGAGGATGGTAAAAGATGCATTGTGACAATTAAAAATAAAGCCACTCCAGGTAACAAGGTAGTCACCACAAGAGACTTGAGGCTCTACCCTTCTAAGAGGAGGGAGGGAAAGAGAACCAAACAAGTAGACCAAAGACGAAATTAAGTGCTCATTGCAGCCAGGGATGCAGAGCTCTTCTATCACTGTTCGTACACCCCACGAGCCTGTGTGTGATAAACACAGGCACAGATACTGCCTCATTCTCCCACAGAGATTAAAACACTTCCCTTGTCTCAGCCCCATGACACACAACCACCCTAGGGCAACCTCTCTGGTGGATGGTCTGATGATCATAATGGTTACCCTACATCCCCAGGAAGGCATGTGAGCCTCTTCTCCATCTCACGCACATTTGAGGGAATTACTGTTCCAAATCTATCTATAGCACAGAAGCTTAGTAACAGCACTAAATGAAAGATCTGTCAAATATAAGAACAAAAAATTACCATAAGATGCCAAGCCTGGAATACTAATTAGCACTGGCACAATCCCAACATGAGAGTGAGCACAACTAAAAATGTCAAAGGTATCAGATTCACCAAGAAATACAGAGTGACATTAAAAAGGGAAGAATTCCAAATACAGTATCTTGAAAATAAGGACATTCTACAAAATGTTTGCCAAAGCTAGACTACAGTTTTAACTGCAAGGCCTAAAGAAATATATCATACCAGACAATTTCAGAGCTGCCTATTCACTTTTCTGAAAATGAATGCCCAGGAGTACATATGGTGATAAAAAATTAGCATAATATTGAATCAAACAACAAGTTTTTTTTCCTTGACATGACCCTCTTGGTAAAATTTACCTATTCCATAAAAGCTCATATCTCGTGCTGCATTTGTTTTATAGGATCCAGGTACCTTAAATTCTGTCATTCTTAGCTCCTTTGAAGAATATTAAGAGCATCCCATTCATGATCACCAAAAACCTAAACAAACATTCACAAAAGTTGCCTTTACTTTCATTTGTTAGTCATGTTACTTTACATGGTACAAAAAGTACCATTAAGCACATGGTATTTTAGTGGTACAAGAATTTCATTCACAAGTGGTACAAGAATTTCATTCTTGTACCACTTGTCTCATACCCTTATCTTTTTAGTTTAGCATCTTCAAAAATAATCTATACCCTAGCATTGAACATCTGCATCAGTATTTTTTCCTGCTTCTCTAAATAGCAATCTAGTAATGTACTAATAAAAAAAAATTCTGATGCTCCTATTTACCACTATTTCTTGTTGCCTGTGGCAGTTATCCATTCACATCACTGCCTTGCAATAGAATATTACTCGACACTTGCCAAATTTTACCCTTTCTACCGTTCACTATTATCACTAACTTTTAATTACCAGTGTTGATTAATGAGCTTTGGATTAACCCTTTGTTAGTAACCTGGGGTGTTTAAAAATTCATCCTTATTTCAAAATTGGCAATATCCTAACCAGTTTTGCAGAGGGCAGAAAAATTGATTGCAGTAACATTGAAAGTTGACCAATTATATTTTGTTACGTGATTTGCCAAATAACCATTTATGCACGTTTTTATCAGCCAGAAAAAGAATTTTGTAGTGTCATACACAACACAAAAAATGACCATCAGATTTTATGAGAAAGTAATGTAGAATCACAAGATAGCAGAACATCAAATAAGTATTACATAAGCTATTTTTCATTTTGGTTGTTTTGAGCAAATACCCCACGCCACTAGCATAAGGTTGCCATCAAAACTCCTAAACCCATATACCTCCCATCCACATTAGGGATGCAATATTTCATATATTCAAGATAAAGGTTAAATAGATTAAGCATTAATGCAGAAGCTTTCACATTACATGCTCTTATAGCTAGGAAATCATACCATCAACTCATGAATATTAAAGTAATAAAAAAATTTTAAGTCCCAAGAAAAAATATTGTAAGACAATATAAGTCCAATAAATGTCTGACCAAAATGATTACCATCTCTTGTCTTAGTACCAAACTATGTAACACAACCAACAAGCCTTTGTCTACAGATAAAAATATCCTTTCCTGGGCACTGATAATCTTGAATAAAAATGCAACCTTAAACTGCAAGAGAACTGTTGCAAATAAAATATAAGCAACTTGCAATGCACTGGATTACTTTGCCAACATATCTTGTCAAACAAGTAGTACCAGTGCAAATTATTAAAGTTCCTAGTCTAAAGGCTTTTTTTTTTTTTTTACAACTTTTAGTTGTCTCAAGACAAAATTGATTATTTACAAAGTAGAACTGCACATCTCAATTTAATTATGAAATTAATAATTCAAATACCAATCTGAAAATTCAAATTGATTGAAAATTTAATGGCTCATATGTTGATTTTCTTATATAACTTAAAATTTCATCAAATTGCTAATAGAAACTGTAATGAATTGTAGCTACCCTACTAAATATAATCAATGAAAAAAATTCCTAGTTCCCTTTCAAATCCATTGGTGCATTAGTTAAGATGCCCATGTTCACTTACTTACGGTAAATAGTGCGAATGCGACGTACCTACCTCCCCCCAATCGGCTGCCCCCCCCATAACCCCCACCAAACCCGCCGCCCATGCTGCCTCCGCTGAAACTTCCGCCGCCTCCACCACCTCCAAAGTTACCAGAGCCTGGTCCACCCATGGGACCAACTGGGCCTCCCATGGGTCCTCCAGGTCCACCCATATTTCCACCAGGGGTGGAGTTCAGGAAAAGCTCAATGTAACGATGCTGCATGTTTGCTTTATCCTGCAAAGTAAACATTCCTATATTAGAAACATTAGATTGACATTAGTAATTATTATCAATTATTAAACATTACTAGCATATGCAAAATATTTTAATTTTATAAAGACCTCTCAAAATAACATACCTTGGACATGGCTTTTACAGCATCATCGTGTGTAGCAAATTCAATATCCGCTTCACCAGAGGGACGATTGGAACTGTCCATGATGATATTAATGTTGACAGGGTTTAGAGGTCTGAAGAACTGGTGGAAAAAGGAAGTGCAAATTAGTTTGTTGGTATACCAATACTTTTTTGTTATGCAGCTATCAAGGAAGTTGTTCCCTGCATCTTCTTGCCAGCCAAATAACTAACATTCTTAGGAATGCAACTGACATGCATGCATTCTCACCTCTGGCAGTTTATATAGAAGATGGAAAGGAGGCAGGTGGATGTGGGATAGTGGAAATCTGAGGTTCTACCTGTCAGCTATGAAGGAAATAGGAGAAGAATGGGTGATACAAGTATGTAGTGGCAATGCAGTGGTTGGGGGTGGTGGTGCTGTGGTGGCAGTACTATGGAGTGATGCCCCTCTTGCAATGAAACACGTTCCTTGGTCAAATTAAATATGTATTCAAACAAAGATGCAGTTGCCAACTCCCAGAGCAAGGGGTCTCAAACTGGGGTACATGTACCCTGTAGTGCTCTTTTACCTCTAGGAATATATGTTCATCACTAGTATATATATATTTTCCAAGGTTGTTCCAGTGCATTTTAAAATTCACTTAACAGAGCAACTTGAAAAAATGTACGCATACTAGCCCCTGGGCGGTGCTGCTAATAAGTCGACAACACCGCTGCTTGCAAGAAAAGAAATTCTTCCCAGATTGTTAAAATAATCACTATTCCCTGATCATGGGAAAAATAATAAAAAATACTATGACATTTTGGCTGCAACAGGGCGAAGAGGTCCGGCAAGATTCAGGTGCTGAGAGTACACGTTCTGAGCGGTCTCCTCTCTAGCTGTCAGGCGGGAGTAGCCACGAAGATATTTTTACGTAATTATTTTAATTTCCGATTTTTGTCGGATTATTATTCAATAGTGTGTAGTGTCATATGTCAAGCTACGAGCAGTCATGTCCAACAGCCTGGTTGACCAATCCAGCAGCAAGGAGGCCTGGTCGAGGACCGGGCCTGTGAGGACACTAAACCCCGTAACCATCGCAAGGTAACCTCAAAGTAATGTGATATATTTACCTAATAAATTGTGTAAACTATCACTATACTCAAAGTATAGTGTGCATATTAGCAATTCAATTATGATGTTTACATGGTATGGTGCATCGAAACAGCATGGTAGCCACCAACACACCAGACAACGTTACATACAACTTGAACTGTTAAAAGGCTAGAGAGCACCAGGCACACTCAAGTCTGAACATTCCTACAGATCTCCTTTTATTCTTGAATGTTACTTTAAAGACCAGAAATAGCAGCTGGTGGATCCTCTCCACCCGTTGTTGGCTTCAAGATGTTTTGTACCAAGCAGTTGTTAAAGAATTAGTAACTACAGTACCTAAAATTTAAAAAATTACAACAATGTCAACATTGCCAAATTCAACAGCTTTCATTTCAAATCACTAGGAATGAAAACTACAAAAATTTGAATTTTTGCAAAATTCAAAATCTTATTGCACCACCCACTGAGCACCTTAAGGCGCTATGGGCATTGCCGTGCTTTGCAACTAGATTAGTACAGTACCAGAAAAACGAATATTTCAGATTGTTATTCATAAACAATGTACTGTATATACATTGCTGTCACAGTCTATTGTAAATACAGTACTCTTGTTTTTGCATCTGTAAGAATTTATTTGTCAACCTTGGACACCAATTTTCTTTTATTTACCCAACAAATGACTTTGGGAAATATAAAATGATTGTTAATTTTTTAAGTATCGCTGAGCAACCCACAAGCCACCTGGGAAGGCCAAAACTTTTACTATCAGGAGCACATGGAGAAGCCAAACCACCAGTTTCAATAACTGGTGCCAAAAGAGTTATCTACATTTTCTAGGCCCAAAGGCATCAACCCACCATTTGATCAGCTAAATAGGGATCACAAAAGAAAATTAAATATCACAAACAATAACAAGTAAGAAGCGGAGCTGCCTTTCAACTTACATCAGCTATGTCCATTTCTGTAGCACGGAAAGGAAGACCTCGCATGTGAACACAATGTCCTGTTCCATTGTTCCAACTTCCTCCTCGACCACCACCAAAATTACCCTGAAAGTGTCACAAAGTTTAATTTTGTCCCAAAACCTTAATACAACATATTAGTTAAAAGATATTGTACAGTATAGTCAATACTAATTCAATAATAAAAAAAAAAAGCAGTCCTTTCACATTACCTTCAAGCCACCCGGACCACCACCACGGCCACCACGGTTACTCAGCCAGCTGCTAGGTCCATCATTGTAACCGCCAGAACCTCCCCAGCCAGGACCATCATCATAGTCATTGTAGCCACCTTCAGAGGCAAAATCTGCAAAGTACATTCCAATGAATGTAATCCTTACAACAGAAACTTCACATCTAAATTTGCAAATACTGTAAAAATTATATGCAAAATTACAACCATTACAAACTGGTAAGCAAGTTTTAAACTTACGAGTTCGACCACGGCCTCCCAAACTGTAACGATTCATGCCTCCAAATCTATCGCGTGAATCATACGGAGTGGGTCTGTTATTGTAGCCTCCCATTGGACCACCTGGACCTCGCATCTTGGGACTCATGGCAGCACGTACTTCTCCTAGATTGCTTCGGAAGATCTCTATGTATCTGTTGGATAATAAAGAAATTAATTCACCATGAAAATCTTAAAATGGGGGATTATGCCAAACTAAAGCAATAACTAATTTCAAGTAAACTCTGATAATGAACTTCAAGGATTTTTGTATATCAACTAAGGTGTTTTGTCTGATACATAAAACAAAGGCATTTAAAATTTTAACGCTAAATATAAAACTTTCAGTGGATAATTATGGTATTCAAGAAAAGTACTGTATTAAGGAAATTAAATATCAGTAGACTTTTGCTCCAGTGTGTAACTAGGAAGGGGAGGGGTGGTGGCCATCTGCAATGACAACCAACCATTGGCCTAGGCAGAAAGTACCTCTGATTATAGGAATAAATTTCTGGAAAATTTGTTTAAATTCACATTCAACTCTTGATTTCAAGAACATTGTCTTTGTTCTATTGACAACACACCATATTCCATCAGCACTGCTATGATTTTAAGGGAATTAATATTTTGTACACCAAATGTCTATTTATCAGGAAATATTATAATCTCAATTAAGTCAAAATTATTTACAAATGAACTGCATAATCTTAAAAAAATTGTAACTGTTACCGACAGTGTGGATAGTCCGAGTCCCAGGCCCGGCCCCACCAGCCCGTGCCCGTGTCCCGGCCCAGTGTCTCCTCCCGCTCCTTCCCGGTCAGCCCAACAGACAGGCCCAGCCCGGCCCACCAGCTTCAGCCCAGGCCCACCGCCCGACTGCCCACCAGCCAGCCTCCTCTGCCTACCTGACTCACCACATGCCCTCCCACCCACCAGGGGTTCACTGCATGTCTGCTGCCATCTTCGAAGTGCCCTTCTTGACTTCTCTTATAACTAACATACAGTCAAGCTCAAGAGTATCTTGGGACTTCCTTCAGCAAACTTCTACTAAAAAGTTAGAAAAAATCCATATTCATGGAACATTACACAGGTACTGTTAAGGATTCCTTACCTTCATGCACTGACAAAACGGAAATGTGAAAGTACTGTATACTGGAAGTCCCATTAGTAATTAAACTAAAATACGACAGACCCTTACCCACTAATGGCTGTTTTCGGGAGTACTGCTTGGGATGTGAAACAACCATTTCCTACCCTCAACGGTCCTCCCTTATTCAGCATCTTAAGTAAACTGGGGTTTGGTTTATGGGATAGAGAATGCTACCCTTTGTTTCACATAGTAATTTAAATGTAAAAATCATAAATCAATTTACTTCATAGTCTTAATACTGAACAAAATGGGTACCATTCTCCAAGGGAACATTGGATATTCCTTGCCTTTAATGATTGTCTAAGTTTAATAATTCATGCAAACCTGTTATGTCCAATGAGATAAGGCCCTAAACCCGAGCCAGTAAATGCAAGGAAACCATCCTGGGAAGTAACACCCTCCCAATCCTCCCTCCCTGCCTCTCCACCAGTAGCCAGCTACGCCCCTTTCAGGTGCTATAGGGCAGATTTGTTTCAAATTTCATTTAACTATCACTAAACATTATCTTCACTTGCCATGTCTGCCAGTGTCAAAATTCTTGATATCAGGAAAAGTACTGTACTGACAATGAAACTTGACCACAAACCTCCCCACATCCTGTATGTACTGATAACCTGAGTGCAACACCATTCCTTTGTAGTGTTGCCTTCCCACCTGTGCGCTATTTTTTCCTTATGCTTCTCAAGGGACTTTTCAGCGACCTCTTTGTTTATAAACTGAACGTATGCCTCCCCCGTATGCCGCCCCTGGTAGTCGGTAGGCAGAGCTATCCCGTTCGGAACTATCTCCAACCCTACCCAGCGACATTGAAAGAGAATAATGTTAAGAAAAAAATGACAACTATATTATTATTGGCTTTCATAATATTCACTTGAAAACCAGAATGAAAAACAGTAATGTTTAAGATTAAGATTTATTTTTCTAGTAAACTACAGAATATGCCTTCTAGATATACACCCCCGCCCCAAATGCTATCGTCTATTCCCCCAAAAATCCATTATTCCTGATCATTGAAGAAATTATCCCTTACAAATAAAATGTGAATGCTTATATCCCTGATTTTCAGTGTACAGCACATATTTCAACAATTCTAAAAGCAATTTAACAATGGTCAATACTCATAATTCTTAACACTGATAAGGGATTTTTTTATTTTCTGTAACTAGTTTCAAGACTAATCTTTTTAAGTGAACACTTGATGTGTTAAGAGCCTATAGAGATGTGATAAAATTTAATAATTTTCAGCAATGTTTAATACTGTATATGCAAGTTTTTAGTTACCACAAAATCTAACACTACTGTAAAGTTTACTTTCCATACCCTTTGTCTTGACACCCAACCCTAAATCCAGTTAAGCCTTTTCTAATTTGCAACTTCTTTCAGGCCTTAATTTTATTTTCACATTCTCAATGGCTCAAGTATGAAACAAAATGTTTATAACTCATATTTCTTCAAAATCTCATAATAAGCATTAACTTGTTCCAAGAAAAAAAATGCCCAGAATACTTACCAGAAAAGAACTGTGCAATCTCTTCTTTTGAGCATCCAAATGGCAAACCACGGAGGCGAACACAGCCATCATCTTCACCACCAGATGCTCCAAACCCAGCCCTCTTAACAACCCATTCCATTTCAGATTTTTTCGCTTTAAATACTGAAAAAATAAAAAAAAATCATTTTGGATTCACACCTTTTTATATAGTTCATCCTAAATACATTGAAAAACTGTATATATTAAAATTGTACAAGCATAAAAATGCATTCCTCAATTATGTGGTGCACATCACAGCTACCTACTCATTTCCCCAATCTGACAGCAGTTGAAATGCAACTGCTGCCGACGGCAAAACTTTACGAAACAACTATTTACACAAAGAAATCACAATAGCGTGATGCATCAAACGAACAAATCCACAAGGGCCGTGATGAGGGTTCGAACCTACATCCGAGAGGATCCCAGGCGCGCCTTAACCGACTGTGCCATGACATGGTAAAAGAATTGCAACCAGGAGTTCATCTCCCCTCACATGGATCCTGCAGTCTCTCACACACACAAACCAGGGTTTTACACAATTATAGGCGACCACCCTGGGGCATTTGCTCCACGAGCGTACACAAATTGTGGCGTCATAACGAAAATTTCAGGAGTCACCACAGCCCAAGTCATTGTTATTTTTCCATGATCAGAAAATGCATTTTAACAATATCAGAAGAAAAATGTTTATAATTTTTATATTTTATTTTCACCAAATGTTGCATGGTATAATCAGTGGCACTGCCCAGGGGTTAATTTAAATATAAAGGAACTCAAATCATACCATATACCTACACTACAGCCATTGCTTGATTTCTATATGCAGAAATTAAAAAGAAAATTGTATTATCAAATGTAGTTTAAACCGAAAAGGTAAAACCCGTCTCACCCTCAATGTATCTTCTGCCCATGTGTTGGTTGTGTTTCTTCTCCGCTAAGGTCACATCTTCCTCTGTGGAAACTTCAACATATGCTTCACCACTGGGCCGACCTTCTCTGGAAAGCGTGAGGTGAACACCCTCACGACCATTTTTTATATTTACACCATCTGAAGAATAGAAAATGTTATTTTAATTACATAAAATAAAAGAGTTAATGCAAAGACTAAGAGGATTTCAGAACAATTTTAAATACATTTTTTCACCCGCTTACACTGGATCTTAAAAGCCAAACTGCCATAAATATATATATATATAAAATTATATTATGCATCTAAAATACTAATTTAAACTGATCATCTGGGGCTTACTAATCTGTTAAGAGCAAATGACCACTGAATGGACAGAAGGAAAACTGTACTGTAAGTGCTGGCCAAGAGTGCAATGCAGTTTTGGTCCCACCCAAATGTTTGGTTACAAAACCCTAATTTTTTTTTCCATGCCACTTTTTGAATACAAATGTCAAGCACTTAAGATTTTGCATAACTAATGAACGATGGCACCCTGCCACACACACGTAACTTCTATGTTGCTGCAATGTTCAAACTTGAAACCTAACAAGATGACGAGTCACAATATCATGACTGACATATGATGACCAAACCACCCACCATAAGATCAAGATACAATGACGTTTTGGTCCATCCTGGGCCAGTATTAAGTTGATTGTGATAATGATAATGGTCCAGGACAGACCGAAATATTGTTGCCTTTATCTTATGGTGTTATCTTGAGGTTATCCTAAGATGATTTCGGGGCTTTAGTGTCCCTGCAGCCCGGTCCTCAACCAGGCCTCCACCCCCAGGAAGCAGCCCGTGACAGCTGACTAACACCCAGGTACCTATTTTACTGCTAGGTAACAGGGGCATAGGGTGAAAGAGAAACTGCCCATTGTTTCTTGCCGGCACCCAGGATCGAACCCAGGACCACAAGTCCAGCGTGCTGTCCGCTAGGCCGACCGGTGTGGGGTTAGGTCATCACTCCAACTTGTAACAACTCTAGCAAGTTGTAGCACTTTCTAACAAATTTTATAACAAGACATACTATGTAACAAGTTGTAATAAGGTAACAATAGGGACCATTATGTTGTGTTTGCAGGGACTGCTCACCATTTTAGAACCTTTAATTTTAATGATTGACATGAATTTTCAGCTCCTAGTAGTTTTTGACTAATGTTATAAATAGGATGTTTGACAATACAGTATATATGAAGCCAAATTTTTATGTATGACCGACAAGCACTTTGGAAGGGAAAAATGGTCCTACACCTTGCAGCCAAACTTTAGACAAACAAATCTCATATATATATATCAATGAGAAAATCCACCCCGGAGTCCCTGGTGGATTTCCTCATTGATATATAATACGTTAGTGAGAGTTGAGTGAAATTGTTTACCTCTTTGCACCACCATAAATTATAGGTTCCAAACCAATAAGCAAACATGTACACCTGATAGATCAACACCACCACAACTTTGCCTAGAAATATATTTGCTTCTGAAAACCACAACTACCAGACAATTTCTGTATTCTACTACAATATTTCTGACTACAAATACTACTATGAGGAGAGGTTGCATTCCAAAATACTTTTGTCAAGTTCATCCTTCACAAGAATAATAGTCCCATAAAATCCTACTATCTGTATATTATTTACAATCGCCATACTTTCCTGTCACAAGTCTAGTCCAATTGCATAAAATTCCTTGGATGAAGGAAACATACAAGAATATTAGCTATACAATAATTAAGAACATTTGAAAAAAGAAACATGGCATTTATGGGAGACAAATATTTGACAATGCAAGAAGGAAATTAGCAGGGAAAAGCACCAAGCCATTACAACTATACAGCATTTTGAAGGGATCAGGATATGGATTTGGGATGAGACTGGAAAGGAATGGTGCCCAACCACTCGAACGATCGGGGATTATATAACACCGACCAACATGAACAGAGACTGTCGCTCTACCGACAATGTACAAGGTATTTCGATTACAAAGTTCTAAACAATGTTCATTCATACACAGAACAGCTTATACTAAACTACTGTGTATTTGCTTAACTATAATAATTATTCAAAGCAAAACCAAAGGGTTTTAATACTTACCAAAAAATTTGACCACATCCTCCACAGTAGCTGACCATGGTAGGCCACGAACCCTGACCACTGTTTCTTCATCACCTTCACCCATTTTGGTTTGCTTTTCTTCCTCTGTAAAGGCAAGCGTGCTCAGCTAAGAAAATAAAATTTAACAACAAAACCTAATACAATCACCAAAAAATTCAGATCACCCTTTGTCATTTGTCTTCACTTCTTGTATGCTAGATAAGATGACTACCAGGAGAAAGTACTAAGCAAGTATGACTATATAGCACAAAGTGATAAGGATTTTGGAAAGAACAGAGGGAAGGGATGGTGCACAACCACTTGGGCAATCAGGGATCGAACGGTGACCTGCAAGAAGCAAGACCGCTACTCTCCCGTCCAGTCCAAGTGATTATCTTTGTACTCTTCACATGCAGCAAGCTAGAAGTTAATCAATTCAATGATGTATTGTATTTCAGAATTCATTAAACTTAGAAAGGTAATGTGATCAAAAATGTTAATTGAAACAAACATTCCATACTGGTAGTTTAGTGCAAGAAATATGAAATACATACAATCATTGAACATTTTCAGTTGTAAAATGGAGATGTAATAATTATTCCATGAAAATCAAGCCACACAATGCAACTACAACAGATGAACCCTTATAAAGCGGTTCTTGTCAATTGTCGATTCACAGGGTAATGCGGTTATCTTTTGAAGATTTAACTAATTGTTTTGGTTTTTACATGATGCAAATATGAACATAATTGGGCTATGTGGATGTAATGGAGATTACCTTAACTCATGAAAAAAAATTATATCATTTCATGGTACAAATGCAGTGATCATGAATATTACTAAGGGACTGCTGTCATGTGATGCTTTAAATAATTATTGTCTGCATTTTACATGTATGATGCAAATACTAGTATGGGTATAAAAGCTCAGTGGATGTAAATAAACTGAAAACAATCTGCGAAACACTGGAGGATAAAACAAGAAGCGTTAACATAGTCGAGTACCAGGTGTTGACAAGTGCCAGACACTGCATTTGGGTAAAGTGAAGTGATGAAATTTCAATTTCAACTTTGCACTTTGTCAAAGCAGTCCCACCAAACTGCAGTGCCTCCATCTAGGCACTGGCTGAAGGCATTCCGTATTAGAAATCAAATTTCCTGTTTTATGGAAAATAATGAACTTACAACCCAGGACAACATGGATAAAATTTAGAGCAGGAACATCCTGTTCCAGGTACTCAACCACTATGACAATCACAGAAGCCTTAAGAGAAGCAAAATGCCGATGTTGTTCACACACATTTTGTAAAGGCATTCGACAAATGTGACCATGGAGTGATCAGTAGGAATAATGGGTAAAGTGTGGTATTGGATTTTCAATTTCAACTTTGTCAAACATAATGCAGTGATGGTAAATCAAGGAAGATAAAGTCCACAGGCAGGGAAAAGCTGTACCCCAGGGCACAGCTTTTGCACCACTGATATTTCTCATTCTTATCTCTGATATGGACAAAACACTAAACAGCATCGTGTCATCCTTTGCAGATACGAAAATCAGCATGAAAATTGCCACTGTAGACACTAAAAAACTACTTCAGATGTAAATAAAGTATTCAATTGGGCGACTGAAAATAATGTTTAACGGTGATAAGTTCCAGATACTGAGGTATGGTGAAAACTAGGAACAAACAAAACAGGGGTACAGAACACATCAGACCTACTCATAAAAGGAAAGCAACATGTAAAAGACCTGGGAATTGTGATATCTGATGACCTGACGTTTAGTGAACACAACCGAGCGAATATAGTGGCAGCCAGGAAAATTATAGGATGGATTATGAGAACGTTTAAATCCAGAAGTCCCACAGCAATGCTAACACTATTTAAATCACTGGTGCTGTCCCCTCTAAAGTTTAGCTCAGTACTCACTTCCCCTTTCAGAGTAGAAGAGATCTCTAAAGAGGGAATACAGAGAACACATGACAACAAAACATCTAAACTATTGGGACCGTCTCAAAACTCAAAATGTAATCTCTGGAAAGGAGAGAAAGGTATCAAATAACATACATGGAAGATATTGGAGGACCAGGTCCCAAATTTGTGAAGTAAAATAGCATACTGGAGCAAAAGATACAGAAGAAAGTGTAGAATAGAACAAGTGAGAAGTAGAGGTGCTATAGGCACAATCAGAAAGCACTTCTTGAACATCAAGGGTCCATGGCTGTTCAACACCCTCCCAGCAAGCATTAGAAATATTGCCAGAACAAAGCTGGATGTATTCAAGAGGCAGGTTCTTGCAAGAAGTGCCAGACCAATCAGGCTGTAGTGGGTATGTGGGCTGTTGCTTGATCCAAGCAACAGCCTGTTGGATCAAGTTATCACAGCTCAATAACTGCCTAACTTTGCCTACTGAAGATGAACTTAAGCCAATTGGTCCAGCCTTCAGCATTAGTTTTAAGACGTGTTTAAACAATGAAAAACTATGGATATTTTTTTACTAATTAGTAAACACTGCAAAGGCATCATTTAGTAAGACTCCACAGGAAGTTATTACTAAAATGTATTGAGTTGCTAAACTATTATTATTGGTTGCAAATCATGAGATAAGCAACATAGGTTATAACATCCATACAAAAAATATAGTATCTACCATTATTGGTTTATATGGCAGTATACAAATTTATTAGTTAATAAAATTGCACAGTATAAATCCTCAAAACTGGCATAGTCAAATTTACATATTTTTATACTTTAGTTACAGGATAGCTTCCCTTTTATCTTTGCCATATTATGCTTTAAAACTACTAATTGTGAATGCAACAGGTCCTACAGAGAACATAAGAACAAAGGTAACTGCAGAAGGCCTGGCCATACAAGGCAGCTCCTAGAACATCTCTTTTTTGCTCGTACTATATGTTACACTAAAGCAAGATTGTTGTACTAGAAAATGAAAACAGCTCGTAAGTGACATTCTCCTTTCCTCTTTTGGGTCCTCTGGTAGGTAAGGAGCGGACACAAACCTGACTTTTCCTGACGTTGGGAAACCGTCAGAGGGGCTGGAGTATGAATTGATAAAATGCATTTAAACTTAGCAAGGCAAACTAGTTTTGAAATCACACACAGAGATCACACTAACGTGATGCATCAAATGAACATATCCACATGGCCGTGACTCCTCGTCACGGCTCTTGTGGATTTGTTCATTAGTTTTGAAATAAAGCAAGATAATAGATACAACAATTTTGGGTTAGAAGATATACAAACAGGTATATTTAAGCAAGGATGTGGGTGAGTATATACATATTAGTAATCCAATATTAAATTTTAATATACTACATATCTATATTAATAGACCCTGTACCAAGATTGGTCCAGGCCATCTTTCTACTGAATGAGGTAGAAGAGTCCACCACTTCCATGCTATTGGAGTGGGAGGGAGGCCCTTCACACTATTGGGTTGGCATGGGTGGGCACCCCATGCTATTGTAGGAGGGTGGAGCCCCCCATTCATGCTAATGGGGTGGGATGGGCCCCCCCCCGAATGCTATTGGGGTGGGGTGGGAGGGGGCACCCCACATGCTATTGGGGTGGAGGTGGAATGCCATGGTGGAGGTCACCCACCTCCACCATGGGTGGTGGTGGGTACAGGGCCCAGCAACGCAAAAGGGTGGAGTCCCCCCAACCACTAGAGGGTGGGGGTGGAAGGTCCCCCCCCCCCAACACTGTAGGGTGGGGGTCGAGGCCCCCCACACTGGAGGGCCCGCCACGCGTGCCGCGGACCCCACGCCGCCGCCGCCCCCCACCCTAACAACGCAACAGTCCCCAACAAACCCCACCCCCACACCACCCACCACAGCCACCACCCCACCACCACCCACAGGAGCCACAAACCAGCCCAAAAAGTCAGTAAAAGAGAGCGTGGGGTCGGCGGCGGCGGCGCCACGCGGGGGTGAGGCTCAACATGGCGTCAGACGCCGCCGGTGCTCCTCATCCTTACCTCCGTCAGACATGACACAGCGGCGGCGGGCACGACGGTCGGTCTCTGCGGCGGCGTCCTCGCGGCAACCCTCGGCTGGCCCAGCTACACGATGCCACCAATAACCCAGAAAGTACAATGAGTGGGGCGATATACTAACCCGTGAGGCAGGAGCGTGAGCCTACTGGCGGGGTCAACAAGCGTCTGTGGCGGCCCGCCGCGGCGCGCGCCTCCCCCCCACCACCCGCGGACCAATACATCACCCGCCAAATTTGAAACAATTTTATAATAAAAATAATAATTTATTTAGAAACAGTACATATATAGTTGCAGAGTTACAGTACAAGGACGGGAGACATCTCCCGTCACGCAGTCGCACCTCCACAGATCTCCAGAATCAGCTTTTCATACTGGTAATGGCTCCAAAGAGCCACCACTTACGGGCTATTCATGCCCGTGCCACTTTTTGGATGGCTTAATCTTCATAATCATCATCATCATCTACAGTACAAACATTCTGTTAGATTTAAAGATAGAGGTAGTACATACAATACCTAAAGCCACTAATATGCATAGCGTTGCAGGCAACGCTATCTCTCAATATGTTAAAATTCAAAATTCAAATTCAAATTTTTATTCAGGTAAAACTATATACTGTACATAGAAGATGAGTTAATAATATAAAGTTGGATTTACAGATAGAGCTATTACGTACAATACCTAAAGCTACTAATACGCATAGCGTTTCGGGCAACGCTATCAATATCTCCTCTCTGCCTGGCCATTCATATATTATTTTCATGTGTTACGGTGTTTCATGTTATTGTATCATCTAGTTTGGTGTTTTTTCTGCATAATGGATGCGTGGAAGTATCTTAAACACAGTTGGTATTTTCGTAGTCATCATACAGAGGCTAGTCTTCAGTACTGCGTCCATTCAAGCTTTTTACGGGACAATATTTTCCCGTACTCACGTTTTCTTCTGTACGATACTTCAAAAGTACTGTACATAAACCAACACTGATATATGTAAATCGCTCAGTAAGTCAGTAATTCATGATCTTAATATAATATAATAATTATTCAAATAAACCCATATGAAAACCAATATTTGAAAATAACGAAAATCACTCATAACTTTAGCTAAATGAATTGTGGGGTTCAGTCCCTGAACCCATTATGTGCCTCTAACCTTTTCCACTGCCGCCCACAGGATGGGTATACGGTGCATAATAAATGAACTAAACGAACCTGTTAGGCAAATATATATTACTACTAGTAAATGAACAAATCCACAAGGGCCGTGACGAGGATTCGAACTTACGTCCGAGAGAATCCCAGTCATCATAGTATACTACTAGTATACACTGTAGTGCCTAAAACCATATATATATATATATATATATATATATATATATATATATATATATATATATATATATATATATATATATATATATATATATATATATATATTATATATATATATATTTATATATATATATTTATATATATATATTTATATATATATATATATATATATATATATATATATATATATATATATATATATATATATATATATATATATATATATATATATATATATATATATATATATATATATATATATATATATATATATATATATATATATATATATATATATATATATATATATATATATATATATATATATATATATATATATATATATATATATATATATATATATATATATATATATATATATATATATATATATATATATATATATATATATATATATATATATATATATATATATATATATATATATATATATATATATATATATATATATATATATATATATATATATATATATATATATATATATATATATATATATATATATATATATATATATATATATATATATATATATATATATATATATATATATATATATATATATACACACACACAGTATAACTGAAAACTCCACACCCCAGAGGTGACTCGAACCCATACTGCCAATAGCACTATGCAACTGGTGTACAGGACCGCTCGACCATCACGACCGAACAAAAGATGATGGTAGCCGAGGCTATTTCTCCATCATCCTGCCGGCGCTCTGATGGTAATTTTGGGCATGGTATTTTATCAAATCACCTAATTTTTTGGGGCTACGTGAGCAACACAAATGCGAACAAGCGTGGCCCAAAAAAATGAGGTGATTTGATAAAATACCATTCCCAAGATTACCATTAGAGCACCGGCGGGATGATAGGGAAATAGCCTCAGCTACCTTTCCTGATATCCTTAAAAAAGCAAGAGTAATGCCAGTTCATAAAGGAGGCAATCCAGCAAACATAAACAATTATAGACCAATATCAACCCTACCCATACTATCAAAAATATTTGAAAAAATTAACTACAAATAACTCTACTCCTACCTCGTAAAATTCGACATACTCAGCCTCTATCAGTTTGGCTTCCGCTCCCAAAAGAGTACCAATGATGTAATTATTAGTCTCCTTGATATAATTTACTCAGCCCTTGAAAAAATGAGTTTCCAATTGGACTCTTCATTGACCTGAGAAAGGCCTTTGATACTGTTAATCACAACTACCTCTTACGTAAACTCCATCATTATGGAAGCCGAGGCCTTGCCCTGGACTATAACCGATTCTATCTTAGTGATAGACACCAATGTGTAGCCATCAATGATATAACCTCTCCCACTCTACCAATAACCGTTGGAGAGCCACAGGGCAGCATCTTGGGACCTCTCCTATTTCTTATATACTTCAATGATCTGCCTATGTCTCAAACATTCTTAAACCTATATTGTTTGCTGATGATACTACCCTCATCTACTCAGACTCCAACCCACACACACTAAATGTTGTGAATAATGAATTAAAAAAAGTCCACTCATGGAAGTCAACCAACAAACTAACACTAAACATAGAAAAGACCTACTACATCTTATTTGGAAGCAAATCAACAAATGTAATTCAGCTTCAGATAGACAATGTTAACATCAGTAATAAAAATAATGGAAAGTTTCTTGGCCTATTCCGAGACAAGAGACACCAAAATCAGATACAGTATTATGTACCTAATTCTGCTCTCATCTCCCTATATTATGCACTAACCCTATCCCTATCTTAATTATGGTACAGTATCTGTGTATGGGGTTCATCCACTGCAAACCACCTCAAGCCCATCATCACCCAGTAAAAATCTGCTATCAGAACAATAACAAGCTCTGCTTTCAGACAACACTCAGCCCCTCTGTTTAAATCCCTAAACATGATAAACATAAACTCATTCTACACATTCTCTTGAGTCAATTACATTTACAAAGCCCTGTTCTTAAGTGAAAACCCTGTTCTGAAACTCTTCTTGGACAGATGTAATAGAACACATAATCATTACACCAGAAATAAATATATCTTTGATATACCCAGAGTCAAACTTAATCTGTGTAAACACTGTGTAAATAAAGGGACCAAGTCTATGGAACTTGCTCCCTAACGAATTGAAAAGCTGTCAAACTTTTGCCTTATTCAAAATAAAACCAAAAAATACCTAATTTCATCTTCATAGTTTCCTACCTAGTACTTGAAACTCGCACTGTATCTAGTGCTACTCAATTCCTCAATATATATGTACCTATGCCATACAACTTTACCATTGTAATCATTGCTGTTATCTTATATCATGTAATACACATAGTTTACTACATTATACCTTGTAATAATCCTCAAATTATGCTACAATGTACCTGTGGATAACCCTTTAAATTTCCTTTAATATACCTACTAATCCTGTCAAATTTCTTATACAATGTATTTTTTTAAAACTTTCTTACAATGCATTTTTATACTTTTTTTACAATGTATTTTTATACTTTTTTACAATGTACTGTACCTGTAAACATTTTTTTAATTTTGCTAGATATTACCTTTTTAAAAATATATGTTAGATTAAGGATCTGCCCAAAACGCTACGCATTCTAGTGGCTTTACAAGAATGTAAAATTTCAATACTCTGTACCCTCATAAACCCAATGTACTACAGTACCTTCTTGTATATAAATAAATAAATAAATTTTATGTGAAGGGCTTCAAGGATTTGTAATTTTCTTACATATTGGGTTTTGTCTAATAGGCAAGTATTTTTATTCAGCATTTTGTTTTTGTAAGGGTGATGTCATGGGCCCCTTTCATGTGATTTTATGGGCACCTGATTGAAGATGATAGGTAAAACACCTCATGAGCTTGGTCAACGTCATACCTATGTACAGTACTGTACTTAGATTGAAGGCTACATCCTTTGTGAGGGCAGGTTTAAATACGTATATATATATGTACCACATTTGATTGCTGTAAAGGTTTCTCAGTTGGCTTCAGGCTCAATTTAATGTGGTGGTCAGTGGTCTTCTTTGTTTTAAAGTATATGATGATGTCTATGTTTTGGTTATGGGCTGTGCTTTCATTAGAATAATGAAATACCCATAAAGAAGTAAAAAGCACAACTGCTAATCAAAACAGACATCACCATCAGCCATACATATATCTCAAGTTATCATTAAGGATGCTAACACAAGCGCAGAAAGACAAGATAAGCAGTGTTAAATAAAGCAGATTCATTCAGTATATTACCGAGGAAGAAATGAGCAAAAGTGGCATCTTTATTTATTGTACAGTATTTACTTAATAGTTACGATCGCTAATTTAGTTATTTATTTATTTGTTTATATATATATACAAGAAGGTACATTGGGTTTGTGAGGATACATAGGATGGTGTTAACATTCTTGTAAAACCACTAGTACATGCATCGTTTTGGGCAGGTCCTTAATCTAACATATAATTTTAAGTACATAGGTGAATTTTAGCAAAATATATAAAGTGATAACAGGTACATTGCAAGAAAAAAAAAATGAGATGAGAGAGATTAGTAGGTATATTAAAGCACATCAGTAGCTGTGATTGATTGCATTGACAGCTTGATTGGTAATTTAACAAAGATTAATAGGCACAATACAGCATATTGATAGCACATAAGAAAAACAGCAATGATCACAATGGTAAAGTTGTTTGGATTAGGTACATAAAGATCGGGAGATTGGGTAGCACTAGATAGTGCAATTTTACAGCACAAGGTAGGACACTTATGACGATGAAATTAGGTACTTCTTGGTTTTGTTTTTGAATGAGGCAAAAGTTGGACAGCTTTTCAATTCATTAGAGAGTGAGTTCCATAGACTAGGTCCCTTTATTTGCATAGTGTTTACACAGATTAAGCTTGATTCTGGAGATATCAAAGAGATATTTATTTCTGCTGTAGTGATAATGGGTCTTATTACATCTCTCCAGGGAGAGTTTCAGAGCAGGGTTTGCATTTAAGAACAGGATTTTGAAAATGTAATTGACACAAGAGAATGTGTGGAGAGAAGTGAGTTTATGTTTAGCATGTTAAGGGATTTAAACAAGGGGGCTGAGTGTTGTCTGAAAGCAGAGTTCGTTATTATTCTAATTGTGGAATTTTGCTGGGTGATGATGGACTTGGTGTGTTGCGAACCAGTGTTAGCCTCAAAAGAAAGATTTCCTCTGTATATTTACTATGAACTCAATAACAATGCCATTTTCTTTAATTGGAGTAATGTAAAAAAATGTAAATGCCCAGTCATTTAGTTAAATTTGCAGATTATCTTTTATGGAATTTCTAAATGAAAGGTATTAGTCAATAATGTATATGTAATTTGTTTTTACTGTTATTACCAATTCATTTTTCGATCATTACTGGCTTCTTATCACAAACTTGGGTAGGAAACTTTTAAACTAAGATATCGCAAAAATTTTATTACTATATGCACAGTTGTAGATAAATATAACATAAATAAGTATTTACATACATGAGCATATGTACATTATAAAACAATATTCTTAATTACAGTATATTATATATGATCTTATAAGCTCCCCAATGTACATTTACCCTATATAATATATACTTGGCAACAAAACATTAAAGTCTGGAAATACCCAGCACAAAGGTTCAAATTCTCATCACAGCTCCTGTGGATTTTCTCATTAAAAGTACTGTATATATACCTTTCATGATGACTGATATACAGTAATGAAAACAATTACTGTGTGAATGAGACCTTGAATTTGCATCTGCCCGTCCTCCCTGCCTCCCTATCTCTCAATTTCCCTCCCAGTGGGCAAAACATGCTCGAATAACATCAAGAGTTCATTTGAGTATGCTTTGGGTTTGGTCAGCTTTTATGCTGTTGCTCCCACTTGCTGTGGAACTTTCAATGACTGGTGGATCAAAACTCCTAGGTCCTTTTCTTCAGTATGAGTGTGATGTGGATATGATAGTTGTGATGTGCATTATTATACCCTAAAAGCAAGGTCTTGCATTTTTCAGCACTTAAATGTATTTGGCAGTTAGCTGACATTTGTAAACTTCATGTAGATCTCTTTGTTAGGCCTCAATATTGCTTTTACTTCCTAATTTGCCATAGATTTTTGCAACATTTGCAAATTTGATGATGTGGTTTGTAATATTCTTATGTATGTCATTGATGTCCACAAGAAAAAAGGCAGACTCCAAAATGGAAACTTGCAGTATCTGATTGACAATGTTTTTTCCAATCAGATTCATTTCCATTTCCTTTACTTCCTATGCTCTAACCAATGTTTTATCCACTGTAGTATTTTACCATTTACTCCATTTGCTTGTAATTTCCTCTCCAATCTTTCCTGTACATGTAGTACCTCATCAAAATCTTTAGAAAAGTCAATGTATACTGCAGTAAAACTACTGAAAGTCCTTAGTCTGAATACTTGATTATCATTAAAATATTTACTATCATAGGAGCTACTTTTAAAGTGGTGTATGGTATTAACTCGGGACAATTTTTTCTTTACATCTCAGACCATCCACTGTTAGCAATTATGCCCTTTGTAGGCGATTTTCCGAAAGCTTACGAAGGGATATTCACCTAATCAACTATGTGACTGGTTCCTTCCCTTTCCTCATATAAGCAGCCTTTCTGTTCCACTTTTTGTTCAATATGGTCTCAGATTGAGACTAAATTACTATATTCAGTATTTCATTTCTATGCATTTTTATCACATTACAGTATATATATACTGGCAAACAATATATACACGCATCATAGCACACATCCAAAAATATAAGTTCATCACAGTACAGACACACGAGATCCATAAATTTTGACTTGCAGTATCATGACAACACCAACGGTCGTCCTCAGAGGCCCAGCTACCCGGTCACCATATTCTAAAACTACACAGTACAAAAAATTGTCCAACATATATGAAGGCAGATCTCTGCGATTAGAGGTTTGTGATTTTTACATGCCCATAAATTGCTCCGATTGCATAATTTTTGTTAATAGTGAAGATCTAGCTGCCATTACAATCTGCTACTGAGCCCATTCTAATAATTTACCATCTCACACCTGCCTTAGTGATTCCTTGTGTAAAATAGAGTACTTTGACCATTTCACTGGTTCCATCATACTGTTTCAAGAACATAATCTATAAACTGAAGTCCACTGAGACACTTTCTCTCGTCCACTCTGATTTTACTCATGTTGATGTTGTCGATCAGCACTGGAGAAAACGATGGCCTCCAGCCATTGATTAGTGAATGTAGAAATCTCCAATCTTCGATCAAGAGTGAATGCAGAATTCCATTCCTAGGTCACAAATCAGGAATGACCAGAGGAGCCTTTGTTCAAGGATCAAGAGTGAATGCAGGAACCTCTGGTCAGGATTCAGTTGTGACTGGAGAAGCTTCTGTTCAGGAATCAGGAGTGACTGAAGAAACCTCCAGTCAAGGATCAGGAGCGGTTGCAGGAGAATATCTCGAAATGCATGTTGTCTGTGAAGCCCTGATGTCCAACGTCAGCCAGGGTTACCTGCTCCTGTCCAGCTGAGAGAAAGCGACCTGTGAAAAGTGTGAAATTCAGTGATGGTTGTGTTGAAGGTCAGTGAGTGATTGGGAAGGTCACTGAAGATGATAGGATTAAATCAAGATACTTTGATGGTATTGATTATTATCTATTTGGAGACTAAGGTAAACAAAAGTCTCTATACCAACACCCACCTCTTCACTGGAAGAATAAGGATTAATTGATAACTTTAATACCACAATAAAGAAGGCATAAATTTATATGTTACTCCTACAAATTAGTAAGAAGTACTGAATTAGCAACTATGGCAGGAGGATATGATAATTGTTTGACGTGTGAGAGGAAAAATACTCTCAGGCAGCAGCCAACTGAATGCGGGCCTGGGAGTAATTGAGAGCATACAGTACCATAAAATATACCACAGCAAATGTAAAAAAATCTTAGATAAATTAATCGAAGCGTACAACAATGAGCAAACTGAAGGCAAATGCCATTTTCGTTTTTACTGCTTAACCTGCAATAATCGTGGCAATGGCCTAAATGACCCAAGCACCACTATCATTAATAAGGATGAAAGTAATGAGAAGAACAGGGAGAAAACTGGTAACATAATTAAAGAACTACAAGAAGGTCAGAAAGTTTTTATGAAACAGTTTATGGACTTTCAACACTCAATAATTAGCAATCGTGTCGTGCTAAATGGGAACAAACAAAGGGTCATGCTAAATGTGAAACAGTCTAACTGGAGAAATGTAGTGAGTGGGGTGCCACAGGGGTCCATTTTGGGGACAACCCTTTTTGTCATATACATCAATGACACAGATGAGAATATCATAAACCACATCATCAAATTTGCAGAAAACACTAAGAATTATGGTAAAGTAGGAAGTGAAAATGATATCGAGTCCTTACAAAGAGATCTACATATACTCCACAAATGGTCAGAAGACTAGCAAATGCTTTTTAATATCGACAAATGCAAGACCTTGTATGTGGGGCATAACAATCCACATTACAACTACCAAATTAACAGCATTACCTTGCAGTAGATTGAAGAAAAGGACCTTGAAGTCAGAATCTACCATTCACTGAAAGTTGCACAAGTGGGAGCAGCAGTAAAAAAAAAAGAAAGCTAGCCAAACCTTAGGAATAATCAAGTTTACTTTGACTTTAAGGAAAAGAAGGTAGTTATTCAATTTAAGGCCTTCGACAAGTCGCCGGCTTCCTATCCTCATTGAGGCCACTAGTGTGAGTGGCTCTCAGGTAAACTCGAGTAAATTGTATAAGACTCTGGTGCACCCCATCCCCCTGGATTATTGTATCCAGACATATCTTGAGATCTTGACATGATTTCGGGGCTTTAGTGTCCCCGCGGCCCAGTCCTTGACCAGGCCTCCACCCCCAGGAAGCAGCCCGTGACAGCTGACTAACACCCAGGTACCTATTTTACTGCTAGGTAACAGGGGCATAGGGTGAAAGAAACTTTGCCCAATGTTTCTCGCCGGCGCCTGGGATCGAACCCAGGACCACAAGTCCAGCGTGCTGTCCGCTCGGCCGACTGGCTCCCTAAGACATGGAGACTTCATCTTCAGAAGATAGCTTCATTGGAGAAAGTACAGCACTGGGCAACAAAAATAATTTCAAAACTAAGTCAATTCTCATGCCAGGACAGGTTGAGGGCCACAGGGCAAGCAACACTACAAACCAGGCATTATAGGGCTGATCATCAAACTATTCAAAATACTGAACAATTTGGAGGACGTTGATCTGGACAATTTCAAAAGGTCAGATGTAATACAGACAAGGAGTAACAGTTTCAAGCTCGACAAGCTACAGTGTAGAACTGAAAACAGGAGATGCTTTTTCACCCATAAACCCATGGAATTCCCTACCCGCCAAAGTCGGAAATGCCAACATGCTGCTGAACTTTAAAATCCAGCTTGAAAAAATCATCAGGACAAATGGGGATATTTGAGAAGCCAACAGCTTCCAGTCCTCATCAAGGCCACTAGAGTGTAAGTGACCCTCAGGTAAATTCAGGTAAATAATAACATTTCTTTTCCTGTAATACAAAATTCAAAGTTTTTGTTTAACAATTAATGAATTTATTTATTTTACAGGAATTAGTTATGTAAAAGTCAAACAGTAGTTATGAAACAGACCTTTAGATGTACCATATATGACAGTAGTACTCTCTGATTCATAGTAACCTAACTGAATGATAATGTTAACTTGTGGTAAGTTTAATTACTGATCTTTCGTGGCCTGAGTTTCAATCCTGTAGGATACATAGCATGGAACCTGTGATGATCTGAATGGTACTGACATGATGACCTGAGTCATATTGTGTAGATCTGTGGGAAGGCAGGAGGTACTAACCTGAAGTGAGGTGTTTGATTCTGTAATGGGAGGCGCCTCTTGGTGAGTATAATAGGAAGAATTTGTCGTCTGTACGATTGAGACTGGTAACACTGCTCTCAGCGCTCTGTAACAATACAAACAATAATTCACTTTTGTAAACAGAGAGTGGTAGATGGTTGGAACAAGTTAGGTGAGAAGGTGGTGGAGGCCAAAACCATCAGTAATTTCAAAGCATTATGTGACAAAGAGTGCTGGGGAAACAGGACACCACGAGCATAGCTCTCATCCTGTAACTACACTCAGGTACTGTAATTACAATAGAGATCAAGGAACCTGTGCTTTTCTATTTACATGTACCAAATGAACATCACAGACAAATAGGGTATAAACCTTTGACATTTCTATGTGAATGTCAAGTGGTCATGACTTGCTGCCACTAGATAATAATAATTCATTGTCGGGGAACTGGTAACCAGTTTACACATATAATACATACAGTACATGTTAGACTTATATCAAAGTGTTCCCCAGGGTCAAATTACTGACTCTCCCCAGGATGCAACCCCACAACAAGGTGACGAACTTCCTGAGTACTTATTTATTGCTAGGTGAACAAGGGCATTAGTTGATAGGAATCTTGCTCAACCATTTCTGTCCTGCCCGGGATTCGAACCCCGGAATTCTTGAATGCAAGGCAAGAATGAACTTGACTGTACTCTCAGGACCCTTTATACTGTATATATTTTGAATTTATTTATATATACAATTCTTACAGTCAGAACAAATATATAAATTGTGACACTAGCTCTCCACATATGTCAGTTGCTTAATTTAGAACCTGTACTTGAGGTCAATCTCGAACCCATTGTTGATGTGACAACTTATATTGAATTTTGTAACTAGCTCATCAAGATTGTAACTTGCTTAGCTAAATGAATTGTGGGGTTCAGTCCCTGAGCCCATTATGTGCCTCTGTAACCCTTTCCACTACCGCCCACAAGATGGGTATGGGGTGCATAATAAATGAACTAAACTAAACTTGTAAAGCCACTAGTACACAAAGCATATAAACACAGACAATATCAACTGTGGACAGCACTTGGTATATATTTTGGACTTCTGAACATTATTGTTCACCTTATGGTTTTCCTGGCCAGGAGCAAAAAATCTGTCAGACTTATCGAGGTCTCCTTTCACTATTAACCTTTTCCGGAAAGCAATCCACAACAGTTGCATAACTGTCATACTTCCCAACAGCACTATCATACAGCAGATTGATGAAGAAAAGGATCTAAGAGTTTTGATTTGCCAGTCATAATAATAATAATGATCTAACATCTAAGCTGTAATGATTAGATGTTGAGATGTAAGTCTCATCCTAATCACACACTCAGAAATTAACAGAGCACTCAGGAAAGTGCGAAAGACTTTGGTGTAAATTCCTTACATAAATTTCATAAATACACAAATGTGGTTTTTTTTATCCTGTTATTATGTCTGTGAGTAGACATTACCATTACAGTACTTAAATAATAATAATCACACAGAAATCACATAAAAGTGATATTTATAATGAGAAAATCCACTGGAATATATAGGTCACTTTTTGTATGACTTTTTACAAGTCAGCCCTGGTTTAGTGGTAGAGTACGTGACTGGCAATGCCAGGGTTGTAGGTTCGCATCCACTTAAAGTTGTAGTGGATTTTCTCAATAATAATAACAAAAATAATAATAATACTGTAAAAGCTTCCTAGAAAGTTGTAACAGATCCCATGAGCACCACACCAGAAACAAATACATATTTGATATTCCAGGAGTACGACTTAGTCAAACTAGAAATGCTTTACAAATCAAGGGACCTTGAATGTGGAATGACCTTCCCAGTTATGTTAAAGACTGTACCTCTCCCAACCAGTTTAAGATAAAAACTAAGTACCACCTAATTAACTCAATGTAACCTACCTCATCCCCAAAATGTCAACCCATGTCTACTACTGTATTTTAAACAATGCTGTTTGTTGACCAAATTGTATTTTTGCTATTTTTTCTGCCATGTTTCCCCCCCCCCTTTTTTTCCATTTTTTCTTATTTTTTCTCAAAACAATTTATACTTTAATTTCAATTAGTATTAAGCTTTAGTCTTAGTGTTTTTCCTGCCCGAAACGCTTTGCGTAATAGTGGCTTTAGGCATTGTATGTACAGTACTAGCTCTATCTATAAATCCATCAACTTTTTTATCTTACCTTGTATGTATGTACTTTACCTGAATAAATATTTGTATTTGTATTTTAATAATAATAATAATAATAATAATAATAATAATAATAATAATAATAATAATAATAATAATAGGCATTAAAAGTTGCACAAGTGGGAGCTGCAGTAAAAAAAAAAGTTAACTAAACCCAAGGAACTGTCAACTGAAGCTTTGACTTCAAGGAAACGAAAGTGGTTATTCAACTGTACAAGTCACTGGTGTACCCTTATCTGGAATACTGTATCCAAGACTTGACAGCCACAGGACTAATAACACTACAAGCCAGACATGACAAGGCTAACCTATCGAGACCTTTAAAATACAGTATACAGATAAAATTGGAAGAAATAATACAGCCACTTCTTCAAAAGATCAAATTTAATACAAAGGGCAAGAGCTTTAAGCCCAACTATCCACAATGTAGGACAGAAAGCAGGAGATGCTTTTTCATCCACAGAGTCATAATCCCATAGTGTGTTTATAGTTTTCCTAGCCACCAAAGCATTACTTCAGTTCAAAATGCAGTTGGAAACAAGCCCCATGAATAAGAGAAGGGACCTTTGGCAAGCTGCTGGTTTCTTGTCCCCATTGAGGCCACTCAAGATGGTGGCCCTTTTGTAAATTTAGGTAGTGTAAATTTGAATATATATGAGTCTTGGGGCACCTCATTATTTAAATAAATCACATCATTCATCACAAAATTAGTGTACAGTACTGAACATTACCCAGCAGTCATCACTCACAGACTCGCCTTGTTTCATTAAACAGTTTAGTAACAGGTGGTAACTGTTCAATAACTGGCCTTCCAGTAAACCAAGAGACGATGGGGACTCACACTGAGGAAGAGGGTGCCAGTAGCATCACCATGGAGGAAGTGGCTGCCATCATGCATCTGGAACACCACCACTTGGCCACCTTCAGGGTACGGAGTCAGCACATCGAATGTGTGTACCCGGAAACATGCTGTGGAAGATACACGTAATACAACAAATTATAGTACTGCACAAAATTTTTAACTTTACGTGTAATTACTGTTTGTACAGTATTACTGAAGCATTTTATATTTAAATGACAGGACTAATGGGGAATCTATGATGTAAGGAAAGCTTTCTGTTCCTTCGGTTTAACTGTGACAGGTAATTTCTTGTGACAGTCAACTTAGCTGCTGCCTTGCCTTTGCACTGATGCCATTTACCAATGGGGAACCAATGTGCCCACAATCTGGTGTGTGAACATAGCTGTCAAAACATAATACTACAGAAAATATTTGGTAAATTTTAATGATAATTTAGCTACAGTGCAACTTGCCACTAATACACTGAAAAATACAAGGGTAATTTTTTGTGATTCAAAGTCTGCTATTCAAGCATGTGAAAACTCAGCACATAATATAGATACAGTACTTCAAATGTTGTAACATCAAAGAAAAATATAATTGGTGCATAGAGAAAGTTTCAGAATCTTCTCTTACTCATTTACTTTATATGTACTGTACAGTATTGCAGTACTTAGCTTATTTAAAATTAATTCCCTATTGTGCATTTTGCTCGACCTCAGAAATATAGTTCATCTTGGCTTCCCATAGCAAAGAACATGAAGTGTGTGTATGCTTATTCAACCCACAACAGTTGCCTAACTCCCAGGAATTATTTACTGCTAGGTGAATAGAGGTATCAGATGAATGGATAGAGTGCCCAAACGTTTGTCCTGCCTCAGGGATTGAGCCCAGGAGCTTTCAGCTGTATTTACACCATAGGGTGAAGGCATATACAGGAACCGGAAAGAAAAAGATTTGAGAGGCACACATAAAGAGGATAACTTTGACAGCATATGGGATATTGGCAAACATTAAAACATTGTTTAGGAACCTAAAATAGGGCCATTTCAAGGCAACCTACACAACATTCGTTATATTATCTTTATGCTCAATTAGTATTAAGTTCTAGATATTAATGTTTTTCTTGCCCGAAACGCATTGCGTAATAGTGGCTTTAGGCATTGTATGTACTAGATCTATCTATATATCAATCCATTAATGTAACATCACTTTTATGTATGTACCTTACCTGAATAAGCATATTTATTTTATTTATTTATTTATATCAATGCTGGAATATGCAACACCAGCATTACGCAGTCCCCATGGCGAAGTGGTAAGACACTCGCCTGACATTTCACAAGCACTTTGTCCTGGGTTCGTATCCTGACTGGGGAGGATTTTCTGGGCGCAAATCCTTAACTATAGCCTCTGTTTACCCGACAGTCAAATGGGTACCTTGACTGGTACCTTACCAAAAAAGTAAGAATAATAATTCTAACACAAATTTTCTCAATATTTCTTATGTTTCTTTTTACTGTCAATGGTAATTGAAAAATCAATTCTCCAAAATTTATTTATATTTCTAGTCTGACACGACGCTTGAACGCGTTTCGTAATAACTTATTACATTTTCAAAGACTTTAGTTTACACACACACATCTGTAACCTAAAAACACTAAAGAGAGTTTTACTTAATGCTAACATTGAACTGCTTAATGTTAGCTGTTCAATCTTAGCATTAAGTAAAACTCTCTAGTGTTTTCAGGTTACAGTTGTGTGTGTGTAAACTAAAGTCTTTGAAAATGTAATAAGTTATTACGAAACGTGTTCAAGTGTCGCGTCAGACTAGAAATAAAAATGAATTTTGGAGAATTGATTTTTCAATTACCATCAACAGTGAAAAGAAACATAAGAAATATTGAGAAAATTTGTGTTAGAATTATGAATCTTACTTTTTTTTGGTCATATTTAACAACATATATATATATATATATATATATATATATATATATATATATATATATATATATATATATATATATATATATATATATATAAATTATATATATAATATATAATAGAGGTTTTCAATTAGATTGATGCCTAATAGTTTAACCCCAAGGCTAATGGAACTAGCTCTCACAACCCTAGAAGATAGAAGAAACAGAAGGAATATGATCACAAAATTCTGAGGGGAAGAGACAAGGTAGACAAGGATAGCTTCTTTAAATTGAAAGAAAGTAGGATAAGAGGATACAAGTGGAAGCAGAAAATGCAAATGAGTGGAAGAAATGTAAGGAAATGTACGGGTGGTCAACAAGTGGAATGCACTGAAAAAAGTTGTAGAAGCCACCCTCATCCACAACTATATAGTTTTGATCCGGAATTCTAACATTAGTATTGTTAAATTATAACACTACAATTAAAACAAGGCCAGTAGGCCCGGCATAAAGAGCACTCCACGTAGACACGGATAGGTAAAAACCTATAGGTGAGTACCTATCTAGAGAACCTAGAGAACCTCATCTTTTTTTTCTTGCAATGTGCCTGTTATCATTTTTATAAATTTTGCTAGTATTTACCTACTTAAAATTTTCTTAGATTAAGGACCTGCCCAAAACGCTGCGCGTACTAGTGGTTTTACAAGAATGTATTTACTATGCTATGTATCTTCACAATCCCAATGTACCTTCTTGTATATATATAAATAAATAAATAAATAGGTGAGTACCATGGTTGTTAGGGCCGGAGCGCTGAGCAGCTATAACTATGACGCTGCCTGACTGGTCCGGCGTCAGGTACAACGGGTACTCCCCCTGCAGACGGAACTTCCTGCTGTAGAGTCCTCTGTACTGGACCCGCCTCACTGAGGACTCAGTTGACCCTGAGAGATGAAGAGCGGTGTGTTAACGACCGGAAACTACCTGATGGAAAGTTAAGGAGTCAAGGGAAGTGGTAAACCTTTCCTCTCTACCAAGGGAGGTAGGGGTCCTGGTAGTACAGTGGGGTTCGTTCTGGACGCACAATCCAGAACTCCGGGCGGGACAGAAATGGTTGGCCAAATTTCCTTTCACCTAATGCACCTGTTTACCCGGCAGTGGGTAGGTACTCAGGAGTCAGTCAGCTTGTTGTGAAGTTGCATCCTGGGCGGGGTCAGTAATTCGACCCTGGGGGAGGGCTCTTGATAAAAGCCTAATGTGTATGAATACAAACTGGCTTACCTGTCCCCCGACACAATGAATTAAACCCCCGGGAGCAATGCATAAGCAAATTACAGGGGAGGTAAAGTACTTGCGGTTATGTTGAGGAGAGGGTAAACCACAGGAGGGCTATGCGTAATTAAACTATGAGAGGTCAGTTATGGGGCTATGCTATGTATAACTACATGGGGGGGGGGAGCAGGTAAACAATTGAGAATACTGTAGACTATGTACAGTACAAGTAAGCTACAAGAAAAAGCTATGAATAAGTAAACTACGGAGAGGAAACCACGGAGAATAGGCAATGTATATATATATGTATTGAACAGAGCCCTAGATGAAAGGAAAAGTGCCCAACCATTTCTGTCAAGACCGGGAACATGTAAGCTATGGAGAAGTAGGAAATTACACACTTATAATAAATAATATGATCATATTAATATTCTGCTTAATTAGTGATGTATAAGATATAGGAAAATATTATAAAACAATAAGATCTTAAGCATTCTTCCGTGTTGAATACATATAGAAGACTGTATAGTCATACTAGAAATAAGTTCAAAGGAAAATATAAGATACTACATACTATGTACAGGTGCTAGATACAATATGCAGAGGAATTGCAGTGCATATCTAAGGTGCTAGATACCATATATAGGGAAAATACAGAGTAGATAAGTCGACTCACATATCAGGAAAGGTTGAGGGCAACAGGGGTTAACAGCACTACAAATTAGACGTGACATGACGGATCTCATAGAAACTTTAAAAATACTAAATAAGTTGGAGTATATTAATCCAGACCACTTCTTTAAAAGGTCAAATGTAACACATACACGGGGGCAATAGCTTCAAGCTAAACAAAGCACAATGTAGAGCAAAAAATATGAAATGCTTTTTCACATAGGGTTACAACACCATAGAACCGCCTACCCGCCCAAGCCGTAAATGCCAAGCCATTACTACAGTTTAACATCCTGTCCCCGTGGTGGCTACTAGATAAATCGTGACCCTTAGACAAATTCAGTTAAAAGTGCCAGAAAATATATAGAGGGAAGTATAGTGTACGGAACGGGCAGGAACGAAGACCTTGCAAGAGAGGAGGGAGCGTCGGCGGTCCAGACAAAAAAAAATCCCGTAGTTGCAGGAAATTCCAACAGGTTCATGTTGAGTCAGCGGAGAGGATAGATAACTGTGGGTCTTAGTCATCCTCATTAATATTTATTTTACCTCTTAGACCTGGGAAGGAGAAAGGGAGTGGGTGGAGGGGAACAATGACCCCGTTAGGACCTTGAGACCATCTCCTCCAGGATCTGAGAGTAGCTTTGTGGACTTGTGAGAGAAAGCGAGTTTACCTGAGAGCCACTAACACTAGTGACCTCGACGAGGACAGGAAGCCAGCGGCTTGTCGAAGATCCCCCCACTCCCACTTGCCTTGATCTTTTCCAGTTGTACTCTAAAACCCAATAGAGTTTTGGCATTTACGGCTTCGGCGGGTAGGCGGTTCCATGGGTTTATAACCCTGTGGGTGAAAAAGCATCTCCTGTTCTCAGTCCTACATTGTGGCTTGTTGAGCTTGAAACCATTGCTCCTTGTTTGTGTTACATCTGACCTTTTGAAGAAATTTTCCGGATCAACATCCTCCAAATTGTTCAGTATTTTAAAAGTTTCAATAAGATCCGTCCTGTCATGCCTGGTTTGTAGTGTTGTTAGCCCTGTGGCCCTCAACCGTTCCTGATACGTGAGTTGACTTAGCTCTGGAATGATTTTTGTTGCCCGGTGTTGCACTTTCTCCAGAGCAGCTATATCCTTCTGAAGATGAGGTCTCCATGCTTGGATACAGTAATCCAAATGGGGGCGCACCAGAGATTTATACAATTGAATCACTACCTTCTTTTCCTTGAAGTCAAAGGTACGCTTGATTATTCCAAGTGTTTGGTTAGCTTTTTTGACTGCTGTTCCTACCTGCTGTGCAACTTTCATTGAGTGGTGGATTTTGACTCCAAGGTCCTTTTCTTCATCAATCTGCTGTAATGTAATGTTATTAATTTGGTAGTTGTGGCGTGGGTTGTTATGCCCCACATGCAAGGTCATGCATTTGGGGATGATACAACATTGCATTCAATATTAAAAAGCATTTGCCAGTCATCTGACCATTTGTGGAGTTCCTGCAGATCTCTTTGTAAGGCAACATCATCATCATTTCCCACTGTCATAAATCTTTGTGTCATCTGCAAATTTGCTGATGTGCTTTGTAATATTTTCATCTATCATTGATGTATATGACAAAAAGGGTTGGCCCCAAAATGGACCCCTGTGGTACTCCACTTACCACATTTCTCAAATCAGATTCATTCCCATTTAGCACCACTCTTTGTTTTCTTTGTTTTAAACATTGTTATCCATTCTAGTATTTTTCCACTTAATCCATGGGCCTGTAATTTTCTTGCCAGTCTTTCATGTGGTACCTTGTCAAAGGCTTTAGCAAAATTCATGTATACTACGTCAACCGGAAGCCTTTGTCTGAGTAGCTAGTTACCGGTTCCAAAAATGTGAGCAGGTTTGGAAGGCAGGATCTATTTTTAACAACCCCATATTGTGTTGATTTTTACAAGATTGTTCACTGAAAGATGGTGAATGATTCTCTCCCTTAGAAGTCTCTTCGTGAGCTTGCAGATGTGTGATGTCAAGCTGATTGGACGGTAGTTATCCGCTGAGCTCTTTCTGCCTGCTTTGAAAATAGGGGTGACAGTTGCATATTTCCAGCCTAAGGAGGGACTATCCCTTGGGATAGAGACTTTGTGAAGAGTAATTTCAGTGGAAGGCGTAGTTCTTCTGCCAGTTCCTTTATGACTCTGGATTGCATTCCATCCACACATGGGGCTTTCGAATCTTTCAGTTTGTCAATGTTCTTCCTGATTATGTCACATGTTATGGTAATATTCTTAAAGTCATTTTCTTCGCCTCCTTGAAATATTTTCATTTAGTTCCATTTCGTTTCCTCTTCCTTTTTGGCACAGAAGCAACTGTAGGAGGGAAGCGAGACAGAAACAATTTATTTAGGGAGAAGAGACAGGAGCAACAAGTGAAGAAATATACAGAATCGATGACATTCAAGAGCATGCTAAAGGTAAGATGAGACGGAAGAAATAGCAGCATAATGTGTCTCTCAGGCAGCGTTGAACACATACATACTCACGTCTCCTGCGAGCAGTTCCTCTGGGAGTGTCGACCAAACATGTACATCTCTTGTGAACGGTTCTTCTGGCAGTGTCGACCAAACATGTACATCTCTTGTGAACGGTTGTTTTGGGAGTGTCGACTAAACATGTACATCTCTTGTGAGCGGTTCTTCTGGCAGTGTCGACCAGACATGTACATCTTTTGTGAATGGTTCTTCTGACAGTATCGACCAAACACCCACATCTGCGAATGTTTCTTCTGGTAGTGTCGACCGAACACCCACATCTGCGAATGTTTCTTCTGGTAGTGTCGACCGAACACCCACATCTGCGAATGTTTCTTCTTTTAGTGTCGACCAAACACCTTCTCCTGCGAGTGGTTCCTCTGGAGAGTGACTGACGAGACTGCATCTTGTATTTTGAAATCTGTGTCTTCTGTAAGAGAAATTAAATTACAAATTCATCAAGGGAGCTAAAAGCGGTGCAAGAAAAGGTTGTGCAGTTTCTGACTGGCGACCAGATTTCCTGGGGAGATCAGAATCATCTACCTACCCAAACTCACCCTTAACATTGACAAAACTTTTTATATTCTGTTTGGCAATAAATCCTCTAGTCATATAAATCTCAAAATAAACAATACCCAAATTTGTAACAAATTAGATGGCAAATTCCTTGGCATTCTCATTGACCACAAGCTGAATTTCCAGGGACACAGTCTAAATATATCAAAAAAAGTTTCAAAAACTGTGGGCATTCTTTCTAAGATCAGATATTATGTACCACGCCCTGCCCTGGTGACTCTCTATTACTCCCTTATCTATCCTTATCTCAACTATGGTATTTGTGCTTGGGGTTCTACTACCCAAAATCACTTACGTCCTCTAATTACCCAACACAAAGCTGCTATTAGAACAATGTCCAACTCTGGCCCCAGACATCACTCGGTACCCCTACTCAAATCTCTGAATATGTTAGATATTAAGTCACTGCACATTCTCTCATGTGTATTATACATATATAAAACGCTAAACTATAATGCCAATCCTGATCTTAAAAGCTTCATAGAAGGTTGTAACAGAACCCATGAGCACCACACCAGAAATAAATACAGTTTTGATATTCCTAGAGTACGTCTTAATCAAACTAGAAATGCTCTGCAAATCAAGGGGCCCAGAATGTGGAATGACCTTCCCAACCATGTTAAAGACTGTACCTCTCTCAACCAGTCTAAGATAAAAACTAAACACTACCTAATAAATTCCCTGTAATCTACCTCACTCCTCTATTGTCAACCCATGTCTGTTATTTTCTTTTTTTTTTTTTTTTTAATCAACACTGTTTGCCAACCTATTGTATTTGTGCTGCTTTTTCAGTCATGTTCCCCCTTTTTTTATCTTTATTTGTATTTGTTCTCAACACTTTTTATTCTTTATGCTCAATTAGTATTAAGTTCTAGATATTAATGTTTTTCTTGCCCGAAACGCATTGCGTAATAGTGGCTTTAGGCATTGTATGTACTAGCTCTATCTATATATCAATCCATTAATGTAACATCACTTGTATGTATATACCTTACCTGAATAAACATCTGAATCTGAATCATCTACCTAAATAGAGGAATAAGGGGTCGCCCTGCGTACAACTGACCCCATGGTCAATTTTTTTTTTTCAACTTGAGATTTGAGTACCTCCCATTTATTTAATTAATGAAGCATTATAATTAATAAAATTGAGTTGCATATTAGATCACATGCAAATATATTAGCAATAAAATTACAAACTGCTCCTTGTTTTCACCGCAGAGAATTATATATTAGGTGGGACAATTATTTTTCATTAGATACATCAGTTTCCAATAATACATTTTGATTAATACATTTTAATTACATATAAATATTTATCTTCAGAAGATGTGAGGTAGCCAGGATGAGGACTCACTTTAGAATAAGGCAGCAGCAGGGTGCTAGTGAGGGTGGTAAACATGTCGGGTGACTGAGGTGCGCCAGGTGACCCTTGCAGCTCAGGTGATCCTGAAGGACTTTGTATACTAGGAAAGTGAGGGAGCCTAGACGTGCCAAGCTCCACAGGAGAGTCTGGCAATGTAGGTGAGACAGGTGGCCTAGATGAACTACATGGTGACCTGGGTGAAGCAGGATTCACCAACGACAGCACCCACGCCCTCACCTCCTGCGCTTCCGTTCTGAATAGAAGAATGACGAGAATTATTCAGAACCAGCAAAGAATAGTTTAAATAATATAACATACAAAACACTGAGTAAACACAGTTATATACATATTGCCAGAATGTTATCACGAGAGGGCAGAGAAGATAGATGTTCTCTAACCACTATTATAAGCCTTGTGTTCTGAGTGGAAGCTCTCTCAAGCATCTTAGATGTCAAGCGCATGACTTGTATCACAAAGACTCTGGAGTCGTTACATTGACCTGTACGAACTCGCTCCCTCGGGTTGGTCGTTCATATAAATTGGGAACAGTGGCGGTTCCAGAACCAGGCCTTGTGAGGCTACATATGTTACATTTCTCCTGCTCGAAGCCTCATCTGACAGTGACTTTGCTTTCGTTACTTACCTGGAATATACCTGGAATAGGTTCTTGGAGTTCTACTCACCAAGCCTCTCCTAGGGTCAGGCTTGACTTGTGATAACTTGATCCAACAGACTGTTACTTGGGGTGGCCCACATATCCACTAAAACCAGATTGGTCCGGCACCTCTTGCAAGAAAAAGTCCCTTTTTTCTTGAAGTCCACCTTTCTTCCGGCAATATTTCTGATGCTTGCTGGGAGAATACTGAATAGCCGGGGATCTCTATGTTCAAAGTGTGCTCTCTGATTTTGTCTGGCACCTCTAGTCCTCATTGGCACTATTCTCAATTTCCTAAACTATCGCTGGCTCCAGTATGTTGTTATTTTATTCTGTAAATTTGGGACCTGGCCATCCAATGGCTTCCATATATATATATATCATGTATTAAATATTATGTGATACATTTCTAGAGAGTACATTTTGAGAGCTTTGAGACAGTCCCAATAATTTAGATGCTTTATCGTATTTTTACGTGTTGTATATATACACACACATATTATATATTGCTCTGAAAGGGGGAAGCGAGAATTCAAATTACGTCCAAATTTAGCCATATCGCGCATACCAGCCAAAAGTGACGTTATTTTTAAGAGGACGGGTTGGAGCACGGACCAGTACACAAAGCCCGGCAGCACAATCAATTTGAAGTGACATTGCGGGTAAATCCCTGGATTTGAAGGTTCTCATAATCCATCCTATAACTGTCCTGGCTGACGCTATATTTACTTGGTTATGCTCATTAAACGTCAGGTCTTCAGACATTATTCCCAAATCCTTTACATGTTGTTTTCCTTCTATGAGATCTGAACGTGTCTTGTACCCTGTATTTCGTATAAGTTCTTCATTTGTACCATACCTAGGTAGCCGGAATTTATTATCATGTTATTTTCAGTTGCCCAGTTGAAGACTTTATTGATATTGGTTAGTAGTTTTTTCAATGTGTTCTACAGAAGTAATTTTCATGAAAATGTTCAAATTTTCATTTTTGTATCGTCTGCAAGGGAGGACGCGCAGCAGCCATGGTGACATTAAGTTTTGTCATCCAGGTTTTTTTTACCTCTTCTACAATGTTATTCATTACTTCTTCTAGCCTTTCATCTCGCAACCTGGTTATCTACGTTGGTTCTATTGTAAAAACTTTCAGAAACGTTCTTAATTTCCTCACATACATTCTTATCGTTTTCTGTGAGAATTCCTTCTTGACTCAACCTGATTATATTGTATCTCATCTTTTTTCTCTATATGGCTATATAACAGCTTTGGTTGGTTGTATGTGTGCGTGTTTATCATTTATATTTACTATTTGTATCTGCAGAATCGAGCTATTAGCTCTTGGACCCCGCCTTTCTAACCAATGTTATTTTCCCTTTATTATGTCAACTACATATATTTCTCTTATGTACACACACGCACACATCTCCAGGAAGCAGCTCGTAGCTGGTGTCTAACTCCCAGGTACCTATTTAATAATAGGTGAACATGTGCATCAGGGTGAAAGAAACTGCAAATTTGTTTCTGCCTCGGCCGGGAATCGAACCCAGGCCATTAGGACTACCATCCCCAAGCGCTGGTAGGCCACAAAACACACACACAGACACACGTGAGTGTGTGTGTGTGTGTGTGTGTGTGTGTGTGTGTGTGTGTACTCACCTAGTTGTACTCACCTAGTTGTGTTTGCGGGGGTTGAGCTCTGGCTCTTTGGTCCCGCCTCTCAACCGTCAATCAACAGGTGTACAGATTCATGAGCCTATCGGGCTCTGTCATATCTACACTTGAAACTGTGTATGGAGTCAGCCTCCACCACATCACTTCCTAATGCATTCCATTTGTCAACCACTCTGACACTAAAAAAGTTCTTTCTAATATCTCTGTGGCTCATTTGGGCACTCAGTTTCCACCTGTGTCCCCTTGTGCGTGTTCCCCTTGTGTTAAATAGACTGTCTTTATCTACCCTATCAATCCCCTTCAGAATCTTGAATGTGGTGATCATGTCCCCCCTAACTCTTCTGTCTTCCAGCGAAGTGAGGTTTAATTCCCGTAGTCTCCCCTCGTAGCAAAGTCTCTCCTGTGTGTGTGTGTGTGTGTGTGTGTGTGTGTGTGTGTGTGTGTGTGTGTGTGTGTGTGTGTGTGTGTGTGTGTGTGTGTGTGTGTACACAACATAAACGGCAAATGTGCTGTCACATTGAAGGGGGAGAGGAAACATAGCTATTAGTCTCATCCAGGTACGAGTAGCCAACGACTGGCCATTACCACGCAACCCACAATAGTTGCCTGACTCCCAGGTATCTATATGTAAAAGAATGTGGTAAACGCCGCGCCCTACCCGTAGCTCTAACCCGGGACCTTTCGGTTGTGAGCCAAGGACTCCACAAACTGCACAAAAGAAATATTGAACGAAGGATAATTTGACTATATGATTCCTGCTCCTTGCATAGAGTAAGTACTTCATTATATACACTTTAGGAATAACGGCACAGCCAGCACCACCACACTGACACAGGTGGAAGCTGAGTACCCAAATGAGCCACAGAGACGTTATAAAGAACTTTTTCAGTGCCAGAGTAGTTAACAGATGGAATTCATTAGGCAGTGATGTGGTGGAGGCTGACTCCATACACAGTTTCAAATGTAGATATGATAAGAGCCCAGTAGGCTCAGGAACCTGTACACCAGTTGATTGTCAGTTGAGAGGCGGGACCAAAGAGCCAGAGCTCAACCCCCGCAAGCACAACTAGGTGAATGCATTAGGAAGTGATGTGGTGAAGGCTGACTCCATACACAGTTTCAAATGTAGATATGATAAGAGCCCAGTAGGCTCAGGAACCTGTACACCAGTTGACTCAGTTGAGAGGCGGGACCAAAGAGCCAGAGCTCAACCCCCGCAAGCACAACTAGGTGAGTACCACCCGAAATATTAGAGGACTCTTAACAGCTGGCCTGACGACCTTGGCCCTCGAGGAGGGTCTCTTCCACATACCTCGGCCCCGGAGTGGGAGGCTTGGTCTCTTATATTATAATAAGAATAATAATAATTTATTTAGGAACAGTACATACATAGTTGCAGAGTTACAGTACAAACATTCTGTTAGATTTAAAGATAGAGCTAGTACATACAATACCTAAAGCCACTAGTACGCATAGCGTTTCGGGCAACGAGGATATTCTCGATAGGATACGATAGGATATTCTTAGAGGATCTGTCTCTCACATAACTCTTTATCATACTAGTACGTAATACAACTGTCATCATTGCCACCTCCGCCCCAACCATACCCATATGGTATGGGTTGGGGCGGTATTTACGAATTACACATACGTAAATTGAAAAACTTGTAAAACTGAAACATCCATTTTTACTCCTGGGAGAGTGAACCGTCCCACACACACGGAACAGCCACTGTGATCCAGTCAAATTGGAATATTCCTATTTCCTGATATTGTCACCCTGGAACGTTTGATATTTGCTTATATGGTCACCCTGGAACGTTTGTTATTTCTTTATATTGTCACCCTGGAACGTTTATTTCTTTATATTTTCACTTTCGAACGTTTGTTACTTTCTTATATCATTACCCTGGAACGTTTGTATCTCTTTTTTTTTCTCAATGCATGCGACTAGTCTGGGAGAGGGTAACCTGGCTCCACAGAGTGCTCAAGTATCTTGTTTTAAATTTTCTTAAGCGTAAGGAGTACACAGCACTAAGCTGTTGCTTCCCTAATCTATATGAGGTGTTAAAGAGTGTAGGTCAAGAGGTAGCTAGGTTAACCTAATATAAGCTTATGCACGTTAACCAGAGACACAGATAAACGTTGGGTAGAGTATATTTTCTAATGTACGCGAGTGATATTTACTATTTATGGGCTCACTATAGGCCGTGCTACATGAGAAATTTTGTTCAGAGTAGCTGAATGCAAAACAAAGAGATATTAACAAAGCTCGTAGCCTGCAGTTACCTACAATAAGTAATGATATCCCAACCAAATTTCGACAGTTACTGTTTTAGTCTTTGGTGGACGCTTTACACATACATTCACTGGATCGCGGAACTGCTGCGAGGGATAATGTGTTTTTAATATAACTGTGCTTGTAAAGACACTATTATTGTGTGTTTTTATGTAACTAGGCTTGTAAAGACACTATTATTGTGTGTTTTTTATGTAACTAGGCTTGTAAAGACACTATTATTGTGTGTTTTTATGTAACTAGGCTTGTAAAGACACTATTATTGTGTGTTTTTTTATGTAACTAGGCTTGTAAAGACACTATTATTGTGTGTTTTTATGTAACTAGGCTTGTAAAGACACTATTATTGTGTGTTTTTATGTAACTAGGCTTGTAAAGACACTATTATTGTGTGTTTTTATGTAACTAGGCTTGTAAAGACACTATTATTGTGTTTTTATGTAACTAGGCTTGTAAAGACACTATTATTGTGTGTTTTTATGTAACTAGGCTTGTAAAGACACTATTATTGTGTGTTTTTATGTAACTAGGCTTGTAAAGACACTATTATTGTGTTTTTATGTAACTAGGCTTGTAAAGACACTATTATTGTGTGTTTTTATGTAACTAGGCTTGTAAAGACACTATTATT